CGAGTTGGCTCTAAAGCTATGCTTGGAGAAGCTCCAGAAGGGGTAGGTTAGAACTTAGGAGAAAAAGAGTTAATGAACATATTGATCTCATGTTTAGTTTTAGAAAATACTATAAAAAATCAAATTTGCATAAAATTATATGTGTGTGCACACACACGCACACGCACACACACACATCAGTCTTTATAATATATACTTCATTTGTCCTGTTAATATATTTTCCACTTTGACTTTAACCAAGTTTAGGAAAAGTGTTGAAAAATGAGTGTGGTTGGAAATGAATTTTCTTAACCACATGTTTTTCTCCTTCAAACGAATACGACTTTCTTTTGGAAAACCAAAAAGGAAAGTGCAACAATTATTGTGAAACAGAGGTAGTAAGTGCATATTTATAATATGGGTTTGAAGTTTGAACTAATAACCAAAATTGGCAGCCCGGGGCATAAAGCATTTCTGTTGAGCAAAGGTCCTAGGAAGGGTCCCACTATAATTGTGTGAAGTATGCAAACCTTACCTTGCTTTTTGCAAGAGGCTACGTGTAGCCTTAAACGACTCAATCCATTTGCTTCAAGGTCACGCAGCAAGACCCCAGCTGGTGAATAGGTGTTCCCCTTCTAAAATGGAATTATTGAGCTTGAACTTTTATTTTTACTTGTTCCCAAAATTTATTTCCCTGGAACTTTTTCAGGTTCACAAGGACTCTTAATCTTGCTCTTTGATTCCATCACAAGATACATTGTTTCTTAAAATTTAATTAATTCGATAATTAGTTTTCAAACAGGAGTCAGAGGCAACGCTGAGCAAGCAAAAATGATGGGATAAGGGGAGCGGAACTGGAGAAGAGAGAGTATAGAATACTTGCCAGATTTGGTACGCTTCTAGAAAAACACATTGATGCCTTTGCTCGAATTCGGGGATTTCTGTTTTTAAGATAAGGTTGCAGCTTGGGTAACAATAGAGCAGGAGAAACCCAAGTAGTCATTGCAGTTAAGGATCTCTCAGCAGCCTCGCAAACAAATCGTTTGTCTTGTGAAGATTTCAGAAGAAGTTGAAGAAGCTGAGAAATTAAATAATTGAAGCAATAATTACTTGAAAGTGTCATAAGGGCTAAGAAAAAGAGTTTTCAACAGAAACCCAAATGGATTTAGATTTCAGATAGGTAAGATACTTAGATTACCATTGGATCCATAGTATCAACTATTCTTTCACCATATGCTTTAAAAATGTCTGCAGCTGTCATGATTGCAGTTTTGCAAACAGCACTTCTTGGGTTTTTTAGTGATTTCACTACTAGAGAGATTATCGTTTCCCTGTTCCATTCAAGAATAGCCCCCATTAAAGAACTTTATCACTCAAGGAAGTCCATATAAATTAACATTTCACCATGGAAAATGAAGGATAACTATCAGATATTACTTATTAGTATATACTCCTTCCGTCTCAAAATAAAGTCATGGATGTCCCAAAATGAAGTTTACATTTTCTCACTTTCGCATTAAGAAAAAATATATGTGTCAACCATTCACTTTTTACTTTTCAACGTTTTTCTTCAACTCCATGTAGTCAAACTGTAATCTTCATTTTGAGACGGGGGGTGTAACTCAAATTTTTAAATTTTATAACATGAATTCATGATCAGCACAAGGAAACTCACAACATTTCAAGCATAGCTTCTTTGTGAAATATACACAAACGGCGTACATCATTGAGTGTCTCACAAACCAATACCCAGTCTTTGGAGTCCAGGCCTGCTATGAGTGTCTTGAAAAGACCAAAGAAAATAAAAACTAGAATGAAGAAGTGGCTCAAAATATGAACATGCATAACTTCAATTGGAATAAAATGGTCTTCCAGGGTACCTTCAGGCTAGTATCTACATCTTCTACATCATTCAGGTTCTCTGACTCAACGTACTCAACTTCTGAACTTCCAACCTCTGTTCCGGATTTTAGCTTTTCCTCTTCATTAATATCAGCTTGAACCAGGGAAACAGTTTTCTCAGCTGTAGGGAGAGCATGAAGACATCCAATAGCTTTTTCAGACATCATTGGAACTTATTGTACCTAAATGTCAAAATGCAATCAGGAAATTTCATTAATATTTCCTGCAGGCGTTCATCTACATTTCGGCAAAAATGTCCAGACTACCAAACATTAGATTAGATTTAATATAAAAGTATGGATTAATATCCATTTCAGCCAAAAGACTGCCTGACATCTATGGTCATCAATTCACTATCGTATAACAAATTACACTCACAGGCGTGCTAAGCAGATTTGCTGGACGAACTTTTGCTGAACAAGTTTTTGATTAAGTAAAAAATAAGTCGTCCATTTCATTTGTGTACATCTGTAAACAACTTGAACTACCTATTTGTTGAATTGACATATTCAATTTTGTTGAACGCTAAGTAGCGAGGAAACCCTAATCCTAAAATGTTCAAGCTAAACAGAGATTACGTAACTACAAAACTGCGTGATACCTGTGCTTCTACAAGCGGAGAAAAAGGACGCGGCGAGAGAGAGTCGCCGGAAGCCAATGTACGATTTTTGCCGGTAGACTGTCGCCTGTGACTGCTCTGTCGTAACCGGTAAGCTATGGCTACGAGGCCGTGCAAGTGGATATTTATTTTTTATTGGTTGAGCTTGATTTTTTTTTAGTTAAATTGGCAAAAAAAATGTCCCTATATAGAAATAAAGAAAATATAAAAATACTAAAAAAGAGCCTTAAATCTTTTAAAATCAAAATATAAGTATACTGATAGTGTGATGTAAGAGTATACATTAGTAATGTAATGTAAAAGTGATGACAATGTAATACATTAGTAGATTGAAAAAACTTGGGATTTTTCTTCGTTTTGCGAACCGGGAAGATCATTATAGGACGGAGGGAGTATATTAGTGTGATCAGTCAACCGTCGGTGATCTGCGTGGTGACACTTGGTGATCGGCGACGACGGATGATAATGTGACAGTGGTAATGTGGTAGTTACAATGCGACCATGTGGTGAGTGTCTCAATGTAACAATGACAGTTTGAACTTCTATTTTGGTTTAAAAGATTTATAACTCATATTTTGATATTTTCATAGTCTTTTACTCTTATATAGAGAGTTCTCTCAAAATAATTCGTCTGATATTATCATTTATGTGATAGTTTTTTGATAGAGTAAATTTTATAGTTTGTTCTTTATCTATAATATATTATTCTCAAATGTTAAGTTTGATTTTTAAGACAATTCAAATACTTTTTTGGTTATTGCCGTTTTGAAAAAGTATTTCCTAACATCCTTTATTTAGGCCTTGTTTGAAAATAAAATTTTCGAGTAGCGTTAATATTTTGGATAAAATTCTAATGATATTAATTAATTTTGAGAACCATAATACTAAAAGCTATCGTTAGATCGCCTTTCAAAACGTTAACGCTGATCTCTAACGCTGATGTCAAACGAGCTCTTAATGTTTTCAAAGGAACTCATTTTTGCCATTGATAATAATCTAAGATGATAACTAATTGAAAATATTATTCCCAACTAAAGACTCTAATTTTTTATTTTTTTCAAATTACGTGCCCTACCGTCTAGCATTTAGTTTTAGGGCATGTTCTCTAGAGTTGGAAAAAAAGAATAAAATGTTGGAAAAAACTTAAAGGAATTAGAAAAAATTGGATGAGATTGGATGAACTAAAAGAAATTAAAACAAACTAGAAGAATTATAAGGAACTGGAAAAAATTAGAAAAAACCGAAAGACATTGAAAGAAACAAAAAAAATTGGAAAAAAAACTCACATTGAAAAAATCTAAAAGGACTTTAAAATTTTATTTTAAGTGTATTTTTTATATTTTTCTCATTCTAATTGTTGATTTATAATTTATTATTATTGTTATTAATATTTTTGTTTTACTTATAATTTAGTCTTTTTCTCTAAAATATTTTGACTTCACAAATTTTTATAAAAATTCTAAAAAATGAAAAATAAAATCAAATTTTTTAGATAAATAAAAATGATAAAAAATTGAGTAATAAATGAAAAGGTGAGACGCCTTTTTTTCTCAGCTCCTTTTTGTTTCCGGTATTTTTCGCTCATTGTTTTCTATTCCCCTTTTTATTTTCTTTTTTCCTCTTTTCTTTTCGGATAAAAAAATAAAACAAAATCCATTTATTTGCCAAGTCACACCATTTGATCTACCAAATCATCTTGTACCATTATACCCCATATCTATCCTATGTGGGAAACCCAACTTTGATGTAGAGTGATATTTTTATTGAACTACTATCTTACACTCAATATTTTTGGACTATTTAAAGAATATTTTTCAATTATAATGGACCATGTTGGTAATTATTGTTTATTGATGACTAATTTGAGAAAACCTCTCATTATAAAGAATTATTTTTGGAATTAACCCTAAAATTTACCCGCGTGCCAAAAATTCTTTCCCCCTTTTTAATTGTCTCATGAAATTCTTTACATTTCTATTAAAACCGACTTTTACCCATATTAATTCCAAGCATATCTATCACATCATATCTTTTACTAATAATCTACACGTCACATTCTACTTTCATCTATCATATAAAAAATACTTTTGAAAAGTTAACACAAAAATATCTCTTCTTTAAATTTCTTGAAAGTCAAAATAAAAATATATTTTTAAGATAGAGAAAGTATATATTTAGAAACTACATCAAAATTCTTGAAAAACAATATGTGACAAAGCTATATTATTTTCTCAATGGAAAGGGAAAATAAATAAAAAATGTGAAAATTTGATTCTACAAATAATCAATGTAGTTTAATTCTATAAATAATACGGAGTAAATTGATAGAAGAAGTACGGAGTATTAATTACCAAACCCACGGTAGTGACTAATACAAACAAACGAGCCCACTAATTACACAGACCAAGCCCATGGATGGAACTTAGCCCAAAACTATAACATGGGAACAAGCTCGTTCAGATTTGAAGTCCTTTTTCGTACGAAGTCGCAACTCCTTGCGGACTCTTGGGATCCCGCAGATTTGGGCGGCGGTTTCTTGCGTAGCAAAAAGCGCAATCGTAACGAACTCCTTCCCTCCTTTTTTTCTCTGCACACACAAATTCTGTTATCATTCTTCCAGTAGCTTCATCGATACATCTATACAGTATATTTTTTTCGATCGTTGCTCGTTTGATGCAGAGTTGACAGATGCAAGATGGAGACGACGATGGAACACAGAGATTCACATCGCACGAACTCAGAGACGGCGAGCTCCGATCTCGCAATCAATCGGCGTGAAGTCCCCCCAGGGGATTCTTCAACTGAGAACCTAATTATGGCCAGAAGCGCCGAGTTGCTTGTTAAAAGCTTCCACGCAATCTCCATATTGCCTTCCGGCGCTCCAGCAGAGCTCCCACGGGAGTTGAACGGTGCTGCAATGTGTGAGGCGTGCGGCCGGCCGGAAGCAGAGGGGTGTGTGGTGGTTTGTGACGGCTGTGAGCGAGGGTTTCATGTCCATTGCTCGGGGATGACGGAGGTAGAGGCATCTAAATTGGAGGAATGGATGTGCAGGAAGTGCTCAGGCAGTGGAAGGCGGAGTAATCATTGGCATTTGGGATGGAGGAACAAAAGGAGGCGCCTGGGCACTGGTTTTGCTTTAGATGTGAATGGTGGATCGCCTCAGGGTGATGCGAATGGAGAATGCTGCAACAGGTAAGGAAATGGATCCCTGATCCCATTGGATTTTGCTACTGTACTTCTTTATTTGAGACAAATAATACTGCATTTATACAAGTTTTTCATGCTTCAATGATTTTGATATTAGGAAAAACACATTCCAGGTGATGATATTGTTCATTTTAATATGCTTGGTCTACTTACGAACATGTTGCTTTTTTTTGTAACAGTTTTGGATCTCAACTAGCAACTGATTCATTGAAGCCCCAGTTTGTGCACCCAAGTTCTGGGGCTGTAGGTACCAGTTTGAAAGGCCTCATTGAAGAAAATAATACAACCATGGGATCATCTACCAAGGATCAGAGCGCAACATATTTGCAAGACCTTAAAGAGTATCTTAAGGGAAAAAATGAGTTGCTTGCGGAAGGGTGGCGCGTGGAATTTGACCATAACTCTGTCACAGGATTGCTATGTCCAGTTTATGTTTCTCCAGATGGGAAAAGATTATGGTCAGTTTCAGAAGTTGACAGTTATCTTAAATCAATTATAGCTAACATGCCTTCACAATGTGGAACTGGAAAATATGATGTTAGTCTTATACTGTGCCCGTGTTTATTGCCTTCATATAATTTCTCTCATGCACAAACCTAATTTTTAGCTGTCCTGTTGATGGCTGATTAAATGAGTATTTGTATTTTTACAGAATGGACTCCCTATTCAGTATGGAGATTTCTATGTTCTCTCGGTTGGAAAAGTTGATGCTAGACACTCTTATCATTGTGAGAATCAGATTTGGCCTGTTGGTTATAGTTCCTGCTGGCATGATAAGGTCACGGGATCACTTTTCACATGCCATGTACTGGATGGAGGTGACTCTGGGCCACTGTTTAAAGTCACAAGGAGTCCATGCTCCACATTACCTATTCCAGATCCAATGAAAATCCTATATCAATCCAAACATGATAGGACAAATGAGAGAAGTTATGTTTTGCCCTCCCAGTCTATGGATGACTTGAACATATATTCAATGCTTGAAGAAGCACCGGCTCCCTTGGAAAAGGATGTTTTATCCTGTCTTGGCCATAGTTCCAATGATCATTCGAACATGCAAGGATCACGTGCCATACCTGTCGAGAGAAATTCATTTTGTAAAAGATGTCAGGGTTCTTTTTCTGACTGTTCACCATTTATGTGTGATGCTGACATATTCTCTGTTGAAGCATGCTCTACTGCTTTGGCATGGAGAACAATGTCCAATAAAATCCTGAATGTTTTCCGTGAAGTATATACCCATATAGGTGCTCTTAAGCTCTTGTGCAATCATGCTTTAGACCAGTCAAAATCTTCTTATGATGTTACAAATGGAGAAGTTGCATTGAAATATACACCTTTAGATCATTTTTATGGTTTTCCATACAACCTCAACATTCCTCATCTTATTCAAGCTGACAAGGAGCATGAAGTGGTGGCTGAAGAGTTACTGAAGTGGCTAGATCAAGACAGGTTTGGCCTTGATGCTGAATTTGTACAAGAAATCATAGAGCAAAAGCAGGACATCAGAGACATTTTTGGCTATGTTCCTTTGAATAAGAGGAGTTCATTCTCGTCATCCATTACTGTTGGAAATGGTCTCCTAGAGGTTAGAGCTATAGAAGCTGAGAACAAAGATGGTAGATCCACACCACTTGGTTTACGAACTTTTAATGAAGTGAGTATTAGAAGGATTGATGAGGACCTGTCAGATACCTGCTCTCTTCCTCGTGGGAGGTCTTTTAGCACCACAATGCCTTCCCTCTTTCTTGGGGATGCAATTCAGGTTAGAAGTAGCATTTCAAATATATGATTTTTAATAATTTAATATGAACACTCATAGTGGGTTAGCCCTCTTCAGACCAAGATAAATATCTGGAAGCCTGTACAATTCTTTTCTTTGTTGCACTTTAGGTATTCGAGTTTTTTTGGCGCTTCTACAAATTGTTAGGTCTAAAAGAGCCTCTCACATTTGAAGATATTGAGGGAGAACTAATGAATCGATGGCATCATGGAGCGCTTTTTCTCAAGAAGGTTGAAGGGGAAATCCACGAAACTCCATTTCTAATTCAAAACGAGATTGCTGGCACCAAAGGACACATTTCAGTATCAAGTTCCAGTTATGGTCCAGAAGTAGATATCAAAAATCCAGATTCAGTTGTCAAAAAGGAACCAAAATTGATGGAGAAAGGTTTTCCAATGGAGCTACAGTTGATTAAGTCTAGCAAATGCTCAGGTTCTGCCTTGCCTATGGCTGTTATCTCTATGTTGCAAATTCTGATAAGTGATCTTCAAACAAAAGTTGCAGCAGTTGGCTATCTGAATTTTGATATTAGTGAACCCAAAAAGCGTGGGAGAAAGAAGGATTTGGACTATGATACTACTTCCAAAAGAAACAAACTACCTATGCTTCCATGTAATGAACTAACATGGCCAGAATTGTCTCGGAGATACGCTCTATCGATGTTGTCAGTGAATGGGCACATCGACTCAACAGAAACTACCACTCATGATACTGCACAAATATTCCGCTGTTTACAAGGCGATGGTGGTACATTATGTGGCTCTTTGACTGGTGTAGCAGGAATAGAAGCAGATGCGTGGGTAAGAATGTAGGTGAATTTAATATCTGCTTTGTATATGTAATCATCCTATTTTGCACCATTGACTGTTCCATAGGATAAAAACAGAGGTTCTTATATTCAGATCGTGGGAATATTTTTCTGTTCTTGTAATGCTCTTCACAAATCATATTATAGATCTTTGATCTCTTTTATAATTTTAAAATAAATTCCCATGGTGTACGGACATTAACACATCGTACTACCTGTTTTGAGGGATAGCTGTCAATCACTCTCCTGTTGACTGGGTTTAGTTCCATAGGATTTTCGTCTCTGAAAGTTGGATGTGGCTGTGTATATCTCTGTCAGATTCATGTTGTTTAGGAGCGTTGTGCATGTGATTCAACTTTTGTATACTCAAGTTGCCTGGTTGAGGCTTTTAGTCTTGTAGATTCTGATGGATCAATTTGTGTTCTTATCAGTTCCTAGCAGAGGCTATGAAGAGAATTTTTGGTTCATTGGATGAAGAGAGCGACCGTCTAGCTGTAGATGATGATGATGATATTGACATGAAATGCTTGGAAGAGCATGCTACAGTGAGTGCGAGTGTTCCAGATTGGGTTCAAGCCCTTGAGCCTGCCAGGAAGCTGCCCACAAATGTAGGTGCAAGAATAAAGAGGTGCATCTTTAATGCAATGGAGGGAAGTCCACCAGAATGGGCGAGAAAGATCTTAGAGCATTCTATTAGCAAGGAAGTGTACAAGGGAAATGCCTCTGGGCCTACAAAGGTAGCAAGCTTTCTTTTCTGCTTGATTCAGGATGAAGGATTGGAGTTACTTCAGTTTTTAAAGATTAGATGTTCTTTTATGTTTCACAACTCTCTATGTTTTGAGAACAGAAATGAAAGGAACTATTCAGAGCTTTTGTTAGGAAATATCCGGCATGCAGTTGGACTTTAATCTTTAGGACATGAACAGGCAGAACAGCTCTGTGGCTTTTATTCATAATAATTTATATCAAATTTGAGTTTTTTTACCTTCATTTATTCACATCAAATTGCTACTGCTTCATATACAATATACGGTTGAGCTGAGAAATGATCCATTTGGAATCACATCTATGTTTTGATAGAAATAATTCCTCTAAACAAAATTAGAAAAGCAGCCTCCCTCAATTATCTGATACCACTGCTGCCATTTCTGAAGCTGTCGGGGATCCCCTTCTGAACAATTTATCATACCATACCAGCAAATTTAACTTCTTCCACTTGAACCATTCTCCTTTTAGCATAAGAGTTTTGAGTTTTCTTCACATTACAACAACAACAACCCAGTTGGATCACACAAGTGTAGGGTCTCGGGAGGGTGTGTGTACGCAGACTTTGCCCCTACTCAAAAGTTTTTTTTTCACAATTCTGGTATGATATTGAGGCATCACCCGGGAAAGAATTGGGGTAAGATCTTCTAGAGCTCGCCTAGACCTCTTAGGAAAAGAAAGCATTTCCGTTTAATGTGGGAAAAGGCTAGGGAAGTGCGGATCCTAGTAGTTTCTAGTTTAATGGACAAGGTCTTTTTCAAGCTATGAAGTTCATTTCACTTGAACTTCGAAAAAGAAACGATTTAGAACAGGGACAACTCATAAAAAATGAATATGGAATAGAGAGTATTCGTTTATGAATTCCTTTAGTTAGTCGTTACACTCATTACAATAGATATACAAATCCATCAGGAGTTGTTTCTTATATATAGGCTAGCATGTAGTCATGCACTTTTGTTGGACAAGGCAGTCTTCTTGCTCAGATTCAAGCAATCCCAATAGTGCATCGGGTTCTATAAGGTCAAGCATAGAACCAACTGAAAGATACATATCTTTTCCTTTCAAGATCTTTCAAAATGAAACAAAAAACTTATAGACCATTTGACTTCTAGTGTGAGATGCATATTTGTTTATTACTTTATCAACTCATTTCATTATTCTAGAAAAAGGAAAGATACAGAATAGGGATTTTTTCACTACATTCAACTCATTCAGTTCAAGAAGTCTAATAGTCTATAAGCTTTTCATCACACACAAAAGGCCCAATGTTTTTTTTGTATGCTCTATCCTCACATCCAATGGCTTGTAATCCTCACTGGTTTCTGGTCTTGAAACAGAGAGCTGTCCTATCTGTTCTTGAGAGAGCAAATGGTGAATATAGTCCTCATATGCCCGTTAATGAGAAAAAGAAAAAGTTCATCTCAATCTCCGGCTTACTGATGAAGCAGTGCCGGCTTATTCTGCGGAAAGCAATGGCTGCTGATCAAAGAAAGGTTTGCTGCAATTTGCTAGGCAAGAGGATATCAAGTTACAACAGTGACGGTGGGACTATCGGGTCTCCAGGAATGGTTTCACGTCCTCTTGATTTTAGAACCATTGATCAGAGATTGGCAGCAAATGCTTATGATGGAATGCACATGGCTTTCTATGAGGATGTATGTGAGGTATGTTTGCAATGGTTTCCAAATGTTTGTCTGCTTAGATTTTATTACTTTATTCAGTCTATTGCCACTTGCCAGTTCAATTTGTTGAGTATTTTCCCTTCACATGTCATTTTTTTGTATCTGATTTTATAAAGGTTTTAAAGGATTCATGCTTTAAGTACAAACATTTTCCATGAAGTTACTGCTTCACTAAGTCTGCCTTTACAAGTCAATGTTATTTTTCTTATTCTGTACTTCTAAATATAGCACTAGACAAATTATTGAATGACAACAGCTACCTAAATTAGTGCTGTCAAATCAATTTTAAACTGAATAATATGCATAAAGCACTTGAGCATTTGCTAGTGTGAGTGTGCGTTGATTATTATTTTTTGGCTGCCAATTTACTTTTAAAAAGTTTTTCTGTAATTTCTAGGTGTGGAACAATGTCTTTCTTGCATTTAAAGAGCAACCAGAGTTGCTTCAATTAGCAGAAAACTTGGCAAATGATTTCAATGCTTTGTATGAAAAGGAAGTAAGCAGACTCTCTCTCTCTCTCTCTCTCTGCATGCTTTCTTCTTTTGCATTCATTTCCTACAGTCCTACTAATATGCCCTCACCACCTGAGATTAAATGTTTTCAGATCTTCTTACTAAATAGTAAAATGGTAACCTTATAAATATTGGATTGTCAAGAGAGTTGCAAATCTAAGGAATTATAGAATGCACTTGTGTATATAAAAGTTGTCTAACTAGACTGCAATGATAGGTAGAGATGTCATTAAATCATAGTTGGACTTCTCTGACACATTGCTTTGTATAATGCAGCAATTTTGTCTTGCATGGAGTGTTTTATTTTCCATGTTGGTGATTTTATTGGGATCTGAGATGGTGGTTTCTGGATAATTTTTCCCAAGTGCATTTTTGTTGCTTTTATTTTTTGTTTTACTGAAAATTTCCAATCAATCAAAACCACATGATTGGAAATGATCAAACTATAGCTGTTACTTTGTTAGATATACAGTTAAGAATGACATCTATTCATTTGTGTAATTTGGCATAGGTTGTAACTCTCCACCAGAAGTTGGCCAACTGTAGGAAACAGCATTCTATGGAAGCCAGTTTAGAGAAGATGATAAAGGAGATTCTTTCCTGTGAAGAAATTCCTAAAGCCCCATGGGAGGATGGAGTTTGTAAAGTATGCGGTGTTGACAATGATGATAAAAGTGTTCTATTATGTGATACATGTGATGCTGAGTATCACACATATTGCTTGAGTCCCCCGCTTGCTCGGATTCCCAGTGGGAATTGGTATTGCCCATCATGTGTTGCAAATGTTAATATAGTTTCAGACGCATACACAAAGACTGCAGCTATCCACCAACAGCCGGAAAAACATCACGGTGAATTACCCCATGCCTATATAGTACCAGTGGAAGATCTGGCAACTCTAATGGGAAAAAAGGAGTATTGGGAGTTAAATATTGCGGAGGTAGCTTTCTTTTTTTGCTTTTTATTTGTTACGCTTAATGTCTGGTGTTGTGTCCGCATCGAGAGGTGGTTACACAATTTTATTGCCCTAAAACTTGAAATCAATTAATTTTTCACTTGAGAATGTGTTTCTGTTTTTAATTGCTACATTCATCCTTATAAAGAGGTTAGAGGTATTCTGTAATAATGATTTTATTAGTAAAAAGTGTGACTCTTATTTCAGGGGCAAGGGAGTTTATGTTTTATGAATGATGTTGAACGGTGCTAAAAACTGAATGATAAAATAATGTGCCTAAATTGAATGACGGTCATTGATTTCAGAACTGGATATGGATAGCCATTGTATTTTCTGATAACGGACATTATATGTGAAGTAGGCAACTTGTGTTTATATCTCAACTCGTATTGCACCAGGACAAGTATATATTTGCCTCCATTGTGACTGCACCTTATTCTATAATGTCTATGTCTCAAAAACATAAATGATTTCATATTTACTCAGTAATATTATATTACTTTTTTGGCACCTAATATATGCCAGAACCTACCTTGAACTTAGTCATCAACTGCTTGTGATGCTAGAGTGGTAGTTTGGGCCGATCAAAAGCATTCATTTGATTCCATATTTTTTTTGACACATTGTATATCTCAGTCATCGATGGAGTCCATCATCTAAACCTTTTCCTCCAAATGCATGCAGAGAACTGCCCTGCTTAAGTTCCTTTGTGATGAGTTGTTGAACTCAGCTCTCCTCCGCATGCACCTAGAACGCTCTGCAGAAGGCTCTGTCAAGTTGCATCAGAAATTGCGTTTTGCTTTGAAGGAATTGAAGGCATTGAAACAAAGAGAAAATTTTCTAGCCAAACACATTGATTATAGCTCTCTTATGGTTGGTTCATGTGATGTTGCAGTAAATGATTATGATGATATGTTTACAGGTAATCCTTGTGAAAATACTCCGTAGTTAATATCTGCACATTTTTGAGTCAGATGGTCAAAGATGTGTTGATCCACCAAATGTTTTGCTGATTGAGTGCTTAAAGACTTGTGATTTTGTTAATGGTAAATGTCTTGAAACCATGGATGCAGATGATGCAGAAGGTGCTTCTCTAATGGATATTGATGGCCAAGTACATGGGAGTTCTTCTACCAATTCTTCTTCCATTGGCCAGAATATGAATGTACTTCCATATGAAGAAGAAACTAAAGGCCTGAATGAAGTGAATAAACATGCCACATATGAAGATATCTCTGAAATGCATGCAGGAAATCATCCTTATATTCCTAATCATGATGACATAGAGATATGTCATGCTTCTAAAAACATGGATGGCGATAATCTTGGACAAACTTTAAACTCCATTACCAATTTGCAGAAACAATTACAGAAAGTGTCTTGTCGGGGTGAGTTTCTAGGCATTGATTTTGCAGGGAGATTGTATTGGGCTCTATCAAATACAGATGCAAAACCGTGTATGGTTGTCAATGAGAATGTGGGACTGCAGCCAGGAGACAACATAACTCCAAGTGGTTCTAATGATCTGCGTCCTTTCTGGTATGAGCGTTATGAAGAGATCTCAGTTCATTCTTCCTGGTCTTGTTATGAAACTGACTCTGAGATTCAAAAGGTTTTAGAATTTCTGAAAGATGATTATCCACCAGAAAGACAGTTGAAGGAGTCCATTTTGTGTTGGCAAAAGAAGAGGACTGATCATCCTCAGTTTGCTAAGTCAATTAGTTCACCCCAAGATGAAGTTTTATGTGGTAATAATCTTGCAACTAGAGCTACCAGGCTATTGGGAGTTAAGTATGGTTCTGCCGTTGAGTTGGAAGCTACAGAAGAATTCTGCAAGCAGCAGAGGGAAGGGGACAATGCATTTGAAAGAGATAATGGAATCTACCGATGTAAATGCTTAGAGCCAATTTTATCTTTCAAACACCATTGCATTCATTGCCATCAAACCTTTGTCTCTGAAGGGGAGCCTCAGTTTCATGTCCAGGCTAAGTGCATATATTCTTTAGGTTTAGGAGGGCCCAAAGAGAATGGCGTGGTAATAAAATCAAAAGCTCAGGGACCTATAAGCGAGTGTTTCGAAGTGTCAAATTCACTGTTTGTTCGATATGAATTTGATGGACTTGATTGTCCGTATAACTTGGAAGATATCTGCTCCAAATTTGTAATCAAAGATTCTTCTATGAAGGAAGTGGTTGCACAGATTGGCCTTATAGGTTCTAAGGGAACTCCAACCTTTGTTCCATCCCTCCTCCCTCATCTAAGTGATCCCGCTTCATTGCTAGTTCAAGTTCAAGATAATATTCCTTGCCCCGATGTCAACCACAACACAGAACATATAATGAAGCCTGATATCCCGCCTCAACAGTTCCCAGGGAGAATAAAAGCATTGGTGGAACAAAGTGACACGTTGGGCCATAAAGAATCTGGAATGCGTTCGAGGTTGGAAAGTGTCAAATGCTTAATTGTTTCAAATTCTGCATTAAGGCCTGTGGTAGGTGGTGAAGCTTCTCAGATCTTGAGGCAGCTGAAAATTAATTTACTGGACATGGATGCTGCACTTCCTGAAATAGCACTGAGGACGTCAAAATCACAAATAGAAAGGAGACAGACCTGGCGTGCATTTGTTAAATCTGCTGTGACAATATATGAGGTTAGTCCTGTCCTATTCTATCTCTATCTCTGCCACATTTTCCAAATATGCATGCACATGTTTCATGTCCATTGCCAATGGAGTTAACGGAGTCATTTTTTACAATTCTTTTTAGCTTCATGTGAATAATGGACTAAGTTAAAAATGACATTAAACTTCCCCCACTTCTTACTTTAAATGAAGTTTTGGATAGTAAATGGCTAACTGCATCAATACATCAAGGGTCTAATGGAACCAGCCCCTCTGTTTTTACAGGAGTAAGTTTGTGTACAACATGAACCCCCCCTCCCCCCGACCCTGACCCTGACAAAGTTGGGATTATACGGGTTTCAGTGGTGGTGGCGTTGCATGCACATGTATCCTCTTGGACTTTTACAAAAGTGCATGATCAATTAATGAAAGAGAGTGCGATCCATTTTGCGAAACCATGGAATTATGAGTGGAAATGGTTAGAATATATTCATTTATTAGAATTATAAAGGATGGATAAAAATTAGCTCATTCATTCATTCGTGTGATTATAAAATTTCAATCTGCCTATCAGTAACTTAACATGACAAGACAGTAATTTTTTATTGTAGTCTCCTTGGTATTGCAAATTCAGACAAATTTATATGACGACTCAATAATTTCTGTTAATGCATCTCACATGGCTTCAATACCTGGGCATGCATGATTCAGATGGTTCAGGCATTGATCGTGTTTGAAGAATCGATAAAGTCGGAGTACCTGAGCACTTCGTGGTGGTTCTGGTCATCAATCTCAGCAGCCGTAACGATATCCACACTGTCTTCCCTTGCTCTGCGTATATACTCCTTGGATGCAGCTATCAAATATGAACAGGTTGCAGCTAAAAAGACTAAACCAGGCAAGAAAGTAACAGCCAAGAAAAGGAAGGATCTTCAATAATCATGCAGTTCTTATACCTTCTGGCAGTTGCTGGATGACGTAGGTGATGAATATGCAAGTGATCTTTCCCTTTTGACATTTATTTTTGTGGTTTTAATTTTTTGTTGGGCCCAGTTTTTTTTGTGACTAGTATTTATAGTAACAGGTTTATTTTATAAATGTCGTCTTCCTTTAGAATTAGCCCGTTAGTTACTTGCCTCCTGAATAAGGAGTCCTGAAACACCTACCAAGTGAGCTGGGAGGTTAACATTTTTATATATTTATATATTCATACAAATATGTTGTCCCCCCCCCCCACCCACCCCACATTAACTCCCTGATTTCATGTAATGATGATATATCATATATACTTCATTTGTCTCAAATTAAAATCTAATTTGTTTCACCGAGTTTCAAAAACAAATCATGAATGACTTGTGACCTTATTCTCGTGGCACTCTGTTGGGTCGTATCTTGAGGATGGTGATCTTATCTATATAGGTTCATATTTGAGTCTATTTGGGATGTGTGCAATTTCTGTGTAACGCTAGCAGGAATACCACCTTACTATGGAGTACAGTACATTTTTCCAACACTTGCAAGTTGCAATCGAATGTGTAAACTCATTTTTAAATCTGTTAACTTTGATTTAAAATCCAAAAAAAATACTCCGTATTTTTTTAACCATATCAAAGTAATAAAGTTTAAAGTAAATTTTATAAAATGTTTTTTAATTACATGCGTTTTTCCATATTTAGTACTCCCTCCGTCCCAAATTATAATGTCTGTTCACTATTCACAGGGTCAAACTTTATTCACTTTCTTTCTCTATTTTCGTTAGCAAATTGATAAAATAAAATATTGTTGTCTCTACTAGTTTTGTAGATCTTTTGATGTAGTATTTTGATATGTAATTTTTATTTTTTAATTCTATACTATTTGTCATATAAAATGATTTGAAAATAATTTCAGTCAAACATCGTAAACCGAAGCAGGCGTTATAAAATGGGACAGAGGGAGTATTATATAAATGGTTCTCAATTTTTATACTATTCCATATGAAAAAAATATTTTGTCATATTTGGCACAAAGGATTGTTTATGAAATAATTTTTGAAAGTTATAATATTTATAATTGAGTACTAAATATGAAACATTATCTAGTAATTATATATTAGTTATAGAATTTATTCTTACATTTAATTATATATAAATAAAAATATTAAAGATTAAAGTGTTAAATTAAAGACTGAAAAATTAAATGAAGATTTTATTTTTAGATGAGACACTGAATTGCATGTTGAACAAGTTTAATACGAATAAAAACCAAATCAATGAAAGTATTCTTATGAAATTTATTTATGGAGCATTCTCGATTTTTTTTTGTAACTTTCAACTATCACATTATCTGATCATTTATGTACAGAAGAAGATACAAAACGAGTATTTCTTACATTATAAATAAAAATATGTCAAATGTTTGATTTTTATAGAATTTAAAAAAAATGTTTAAAAGTAAAAAAAAACGGTTAAAATTTATTTAGACGTAAGATTTTTGTTTAAACTGGAGTAAAACAACTTCATCCTCTTATCCATTTTAGGCTGCAAATTATACCGTACAGCCGGCTGTACCTAATTTTTAGTACAGCCGGCAATTAAATAGGCGCGCCTACGGTTAAGAAGATCGAAAAAGCTAGGATCGAAAATAAATTTGAGATCCAATCGATAATGGGGCGGTGGAGAATGGAGCTGAAGAGGAGCTTTCTGTAAAAGATCTGAAAGATGAAACAGATCTGAGATCCCTTCTCCTTCGATTTTTTCTAATACGTATTAATTAGCTGAAGTAGCGTATTCTCTGCACTTTGCGATGGGGAGGCTGCCCAATGAAAACTCTACTAGTTCTACAGCAAGTAGGTGCTCTTACATTCAATTTTTCCAAGCTTCTCTAATTGGATATAATAAATGAGTATTACGGAGTATATTATTTCAGAATGAGTACTGTGTTATTTCAGAATGAGTACTGTGTTATTTAAGAATGAGTACGAATTCCAAAATGAATATTTATATTTGTACGAAAATGAGTACTACTTTACTTCAAAATGAGTACTGCCGTGTTGTACTTATTTCTAGGTACCTATGTACCATATACCAACTCATTTTAGGCATTCCCCGAATTCTCCAAAGCCAAATGTATCCAATCCTTTGAAGTTCCTCCTTCCCAAATCCATCCCCCCCAATTCAATGGCTTCATCCTTCATTTCATGTCACCACAGCTATTCTTCCTCAATCTCACCTTCCACGCTCAAGCCCACAAAACGCAGTCCTTTGTTCAGATTCATCCGGTCTGCTCGTCCGACGCTCTTCTACACTTGCCGCCGCTCTGCTCCGCCGCGTTTTTCTCGGAAAAATTCTCCGCCGTTTCGACTCTCCGTTCATAATAAGGCATGTTTTTTTTCCTTAATATACAATCGTAGATTCGTAGATGAATTGGCGATTTATATACAGTACACCTTTTGTTTTTGCTGCTAAGCTCTGGTGATTGAAATGTGGTAATCGTTTGAGTACAGAGGGACGACGAGGAAGGCGAGTTGTTTTCAAGGTTGAAGAAATGCGCCATTTCTGTACTGCTAGCTGCAGGCTTGTTGTTAAGTGGATTCCCAGGGGGGCAAGCAGGCGCCAGCAGTCAGCCAGCTTTGCCAGATTTGTCCGTGCTGATATCTGGGCCTCCGATTAAGGATCCGGGGGCCCTGTTGAGATATGCATTACCTATCGACAACAAAGCTATAAGAGAAGTTCAGAGGCCCATTGAAGAAATCACTGAGAGTCTCAAGCTGCCTGGTCTCAAATCCCTTGGTTCTGCTGAGAGAGTAAGAAACCATCTCATTATCCATTCATTGATTGGAATTTTAATTTTCATGCTTGTTATGTTATGAGCTTTGTAGAATGTAAGGCAGGCATCCCAGGTCCTCAAACAGGGGAAGACTTCGATTATTTCAGGATTGGCAAAGTCAAAGGTTGAACATGGGACTGAAATGCTTGACAAACTTGAAGTTGGTTTGGAGGAGCTTCAAAAAATCATCCTTGAGGATAAGGACCGGGATGCTATTGCTCCCAAACAGAAGGAATTGCTTAACTATGTCGGAAAGTAAGTGCATGTAGAAAAGAGGTTAATTCACCATCTCATGCTTATCGGAACAACTGACATTATTGGCAACTGCCATGTAGTCTTATTTGATGAGCTTGAGGCTCTAATGAACCTTAGGGGTCAGGTTAGATTGAGGGTTTCAGAAGGTCTTGGAGGGGAAACAAGGGAAGGTTTGAAGGGGTTAGACAATGTCTTGATGTAAATACTGAGGAAAGTGGTTTTAATGGTTAAGCTATGTGTGGAACTCCAATAATGGTTAAGAAAAATAAATACGTAGGAAAATAGTTTTTAATGCTTGGTTTTGCCTTAGTCCTTTGAAAATATGGAGTAGCAAGGAAAATTAAATTTGGTCAGACCTTTTAAAAAGTTCACATATATTTAGATGCCTTAGACTTTATTTAATACTCCGTATAAATGATTTGATAAATTGAGTTTCAACTAACATCTAATAATGATTTCTCGAGTTGAAGCAGATTTTATTTATTTGTCCCCATATTTTTACTCCTTCCATATCTCCACCCTATTTTCCTTTCTAGTTTTATCCCCAAACAATTTCCAAGTTCCCAACAAGCCATAAATGAATGTCAAATGGTTCTATATCTATAGCCCCATGCACTGGGGGTGGGGGATGAGGTGATTCCGTTTGCGTTACGGGTAAAGAAGGCAGATGGGACCTTGAAAAAAATGAAATGAAAAACCTTAACTTCCAAAATTTTGCAATTCTCATTTGAACGCTTGCCGTGGACTGCAGCTGAGATCTTCCTGGCGCATTGGATTTCTGCAGTGTTGAAGAGGATATGGTGGATGATTTCCCATATGAAGTGCCTGAAGAGTATCAAAATAGGCCATTGCTGAAGGGAAGAGCGATTGTTGACATGAAGGTCAAAGTTAAGGATAACCCCAACCTTGATGAATGCATCTTCCGTATTGTTCTAGATGGTTATAATGCTCCTGTTACTTCTGGGAATTTTTTGGATTTGGTGGAAAGGCATTTCTATGATGGCATGGAGATTCAAAGAGGTATATATGTCAAAAACACTACAAAGCCATGCACACATATTGATGTATTAGATCTAGATGTTTTCTTCGTACTAAATAAGTGACTGATGTGTTAAACTGGATTTTCTGCAGCTGATGGCTTTGTAGTACAAACCGGTGATCCTGAAGGCCCAGCGGAAGGTTTTATTGACCCCAGCACGGAGAAAACACGAACTATACCTCTTGAAATTATGGTGATTGGGGAGAAAGTACCATTTTATGGCTCCACCTTGGAAGTAGGTTTGCAACTATTGGTTTTACTTATTCATCCCGAAAAAATCTTTAGGCTCGGATTGGTAGTCATAATCGGTTCATTCTGTATTAGCAGAATATGCATAGCAGGCATAATAAATAGCCTTTGATTACTTCTTTGGCCAAAATAGATGCTTACCAATGCTTTTCCTTTTATTGAAGTTATCAAGCGATTTCAGCCAAGTAACTTTTTAAAAACGTGCCCTTAGTTTCATTGCTTTATGGCTTCATGTAATATTTGATGAACTTGTGCATCATACTAGGAGCTTGGTCTATTTAAGGCACAAACGAGGCTCCCATTCAATGCTTTTGGGACAATGGCCATGGCTAGAGATGTAAGCTCCCATGATTATCAAATGATGATGATGTATACAATATACGAAATACAATCATTTCACAAGTGTCGTTTTTTCTTGATATTTTCGTTTTTAATGATGAAAACAGGAATTTGAGAGTAATTCCGGGTCAAGTCAAGTATTTTGGCTGCTGAAAGAAAGTGAGCTGACCCCTAGCAATGCCAATATCTTGGATGGACGCTATGCGGTGTTTGGGTACGTGGTAGAAAATGAAGAATTGTTGGCAGATCTCAAAGTTGGAGACGTCATCGAATCTATGCAAGTAGTCTCTGGCCTCGACAACCTTGCCAACCCAACCTATAAGATTGCCGGTTAGTTATGATGGCTCACTTGAACTAAATTATGGATTATTTCAACCTTTTTTGAAACCGAGAGGACTCATTTTCCTTTTAGCCTCGCTTTTTTTTCATTCTCTTGGTTAATTTGTAAGATTGTTATTTTTTTCACCTTCACAACATCGTCATCCAATTAACGGTTGTAGAGATCAGTGCAATGCAGCAGAAAATTCTTTCTTTTCTTTGCTCGGTACTCTCCTCCCTATCTATTGTGTTTGGTAAATTATTAGTAGAATGAAATTGTGCCATTGAGATTTATGATAAAAGAAATACTCCCTCCGTCCAACAATTATCTCCCTGTTGCGCATTACAATGTTTGACTGAAGTTATTTTTAAATCATTTTATATGAAAAATGATATGGAATTAAAAAATAAAAATTATATATTTAAAAACTTCTACATCAAAAAATCTACAAAATTAGATGTGACATGACTATATTATTTTATCAAATCGATAACAAAAATAGGCCAACAAAGTGACCTGTGAATAGTGAATGAGAAAATTTGTGGATGAAGAGTAATATTTAGAAAATGAAATTGTGTTATTGTGAAAGATATTTTGAGAGGTAATATAAGCATAGAAGCTTATTCTGTTTGACCCTTGATGCTTTGCTGCATTAACTGTCCAAAATTTCAAAAAGTAAGAAAGAAGTTAGATGTGCTATTTTGTTTAAAGCTACGGAGTAGTCCGTATTATTTACTCCAAACTTAAATATTGTCAATATTAATACTTTTCGCAGCACTATTTACTTAAATATGAAAATATAAAATGCTTAGTCTCATAATATAAGATGCAAGTTTAAGTTGGGGAATGGATTTTCATGATCTAGTATGTTTGAGACGGAAGATCGATTCGACACAAAGCGTCACGAATATTTATTTTTTAAATATTTAAATTTATATTACTCCCTGATTGGGTGATCTAGTATTTGCATTATACACATAGGGTGATGATGAATCCACCCCCTAATTGGCTAAATCCACTCTACTATTTAGAAATGGACACTTTTGTCCTTTCATTTCTTTCTTTCCCCATATTAAGCATCAATGGTAAATTTGTCTATTTAACACAAAAGAATAGATATAACCAAATGTGTGATGAACTTCGCAATAACCATACATAATATCCACTCCATAATAAGTATGCATTATATGATCATACGAAGTATTAATCTACATTACTCCCTCTCTCCCGCAATGAAACTAATTTTTTCTGAATAGTCCGTACATTTTCCTTCATAATATTTTTTTTAAAATTTATGACATGAAAGAGAATGATAGGTTTTGTCATTGTAATTAATTTTTTTATATGAAGGTATTTTCATTTGGGGAAAAAAGACTTGCCGTTGTAGACCAGTTAGGCACTTAGGCCTAGTTCGAATTCAATCAGATTTAATCCATTTTTAAGCAAATTGTGCCAGATTCAAAACCCACTTTTGTTTTTGAATCACAAAAATTTTATTCAAAACTTAATATTATTGAGATAACAGCTCAAATCAAATTGCATGCATCATCCCACACCAAAATTGTTACGTAGAGAACTTCGCTCGTCTAGAAATATATGATCCGATTGAAACCCTTTTTACCTAATCAAATCCCTCTGGTTAAATTTCTTATACCCGTAATCTTTTTAATTTTGCATAATTATCTTGTCCCGATTATGAGAGGTGATATGTTCTGACTTTTTTCTGACCATTGTCAGTCATATCTAGTTCAAAATTCAAATACTCCCTCCGTCCTTAAATATTTGTTCACTTTTAATTTTTTTCAGTCAAAATTAATAAATTTTGACCTCAAATTAAATAAAAAATGATATTAAATATTGATACAAAACTAGTTTTATTAGATTTATTATATCAACTATTTTCAAAATATTATTTTATCTAATTAATATACTCCCTCTGTCTCGTTTTAAATCGCCCATTTTGACTTTGGAGCATATTTAAAAAAGAGAAAAAATAAAGTTGACTTTCCGAAATTGTCATTACTTTTTAGGAGGGTGACGATAAATGAGAAGATAAGATGGAGAAGAGTGACTTATTTTAGGGGTAGTTTAGGTATTTTACTCTTAAAAGTTTACACTAACAAGAAACAAGCAACTTATTTTGGGACGGAGAAAAAAAGGAAAACATGCAATTTAAAATGGGACAGAAGGAGTACAACATATAAAAAACAGTTCCGAGAAAAGTCAAAATTGGACAAATACTCAGGGACGAAGATAGTAATAACAAAGGAAAAGAGATGAAGGAACTTTTGTTAATAGAGAAGAGAAAGAAAATTGACAAACTTTCGAGAAATAAAAGGATATATCCTTTTTCCAAGCTGGGAATTATAGTGCTTTTGAAAATTAGGGTCTTCATCCCTCAACTATCCAAAGTTGACTTAACTAATCAACCAACCTCCTCTAGTCTCTTAACATCATTATTAATATCAAAATATTATATAACGAGCATTTCAAGCCTAATTTTACACAAATCAAAACTCTAATTGCTCAAATGACAAGACCTTTTTTCAAATCACACACAGCATATACTTATGCAACTATATACCTGATCTGGAAGAGACACCAATGGGAGCGAGCGACTAAACTAACTTATCATCTATGCGGCGGCGTTTTTTCTTCTCGGGGGTTGGATGAACCTGAGCTTTGATTCCATAGGTCTTCAGCTGAAAATTCTCAAACGCTTCTGATACGGCCCCTACCTACAAAATATGTAAATAAATGTCATGGTAAAGAAAGTCCGCATCGTTTTTTTTAAAGGGATAAGATCATCCTGCAGTACATACCAGTTCCATTTTTTTGGAATAAACTCTCACTATCATATCCTGATATGATGTTGGCAGCAAATGGCTGATCCGATCATCCGATATTGAGAATTTCTCCTCACTTTCATAGTCCTACAATAATAACAACATTTAGTGAAGCAATTCCAATGATGAACACGGGAAAGGGAACAGATGAAAGATTAGAAATTTTAAAAAAGTTCTCGGACAAATGCATACCTTGAAAAACTTGATGCTGGTACAGCAAACATGTGCAAAGAAGAGAAAAACAAAAACATATTAATAAAAAGTGAGGCATAACATTTACGGAGCACAATATATGCAATTTTGAAGTGACAATAATTCGTACACCCCATCTATCTGGTTTCCAGTCCATCCGAAGTAAAATCTATTTAATCCATATTTTAAGAATTAATAATGATGGATTAGATCAAATCCACCCATTTGTATTAGTAAAATTTGCACTAAATAGGACTAAAACATAATGACTTTCCCAATGTAGGACTTAAACTTTTTTATTCCCTAAATAGAACTTAATAATGACCTAGTGGGAGGAATAATGCCCAGTAATAATGGACATTTACTTGAATAATGACTACTTGATAATTACCAAAAGTCTTACATTGAGAAATACAAACATATGGTCCTATATTGGGAAAGTCATTATGTTTTAGTCCTATTTAGGTAAATTTCTATTTGTATTATATGGAGGGTTAGTGATGCATCCCGTGTTTTAGCTCAATCCACTGGATTGCATCTAAGGCATCTAATAAATCTGCTGGGATGGATGAACACAGCATCCATTTGCGAAAAGGTTGTTAATGAAGGATTGGGTTGGTTTATAAAATGGGTCCCCCGTGAGAGCATCAAATAATTGAAAAAAAGAAAGATAATCGTCATCTAGTTTTCACATACTTCTCAAGAGGGTTGTGGTTTCCACGCGTCAAATCTATCCTTACATTGCTTACAGAAATATCATCCTCATCAAGAGACTTCCCTGCACCTACCTATGGGAGATACATATAAGCACGCCTTAAACTACTTTATGCAAAGGAAAGTAAAGAATGCAAAATCGGTGTTGTTTACCAAAACATAAAATGCAAAATGCATATAGTACCTGAGAGCAAACAATATCTTTTGCGGTGACATCTTTGAAATATTCTATTTTGTCTCTGGGAACCGCATATTCATTACAGAACTATCATATTGAAAAATCAAAACTAGTCAAACTTGTAAGAGCTAAAAACAACACTGCTCACATTTATATAATGCTTAACCATTAGAACAATCATCTAAAACTTCAATAACCTGGTACAAATTCCTTCTCCTAATTCGGCTGATCAATTCCCTAGATTCCTTTAACTCTGGGTTGGGAGCTGTCTCGATAGTTTTTAATATTGTGTCATCTAGCTACACCCACAAGTGTGAAGATGTGTAAGGATACCCATTCTTAAGGACGATTTAAATTTAAACCATAAATAACAGTTCACCAACCTTCCAATATTCAGAAGGATCCTCTATATAAGATGATATATGCAAGTAACCATTTGCTTTCACCAGTGCATCTACAACCATGAGCTCTATTGCCTGAAAATGTGTGACAACAAACAAAGAAGTGTCTAATCATCTAAGAAGGTAGGTTTATAAATAGAGTATTAAAAAACTGGTTCTAAAGTTCTAATGAGAGAATGAATATCTTCTAAACATACCTTCACTTTGGCATGAGTATAGACAGTTCTGTACAGATCAGCCCGTGTTGCAAATAACTTGTGTATTGTTAAATCTGTAAATTGATCCAGTATTTAAAATAAGAATGATGATCAAGCACAACCCAGACACTATTTTTTGTAATAATGATAATTACTTACAATCTTTGGCGCGGTAGCATATTTCATCTCCCATAACTCTCATTGTCTCCGTCAATCTACAAAGATGATGGAAGAAAATTAGGCTATGAAACTGGAAATTGCATCCCAGCCCACATATCTGTAAGAACATACAGTACTAGTAGACCTTTGAAACTGGAAATTGCATCCCAGCCCACATGCCCGGCTGTCTCTAACAATGTAATCAAACCTGAAAGCCAAATACATATAATAAGTCACATCCTAGCAATTAATCAGTATAATGTATGGTTGTGCAAATGAGAGAAGGGGTGGAGTATGAACACCGGTCTAGTTTGCAGTGTTTACTCACTTGTCAACATCAATCCCATTTCTTCCATTCGCTACAATATCATACAAGAACTGCTTCTCTCTAGAACTCTACATTGAATAATAAGAAGGAAATCAGCATAAAGTACATTTCAAGGGAAAATAATAATCGAGTTGAAATGCAGGCAGACAAAATATCTCTTTTTCCTTTTGGTTCAGAGGTTGAATGGAGTGGGGTAAAGATAACTTACTCTTGGCAAAGCATATTTGGAACTGGCAAGAATCAATTCCTGTGAATGATAAAATTTGAATTTAATATCAACCTCTAATCACATAACTCAAAATACTATGACGATCACAGAATAATTGAAGTCAAAATATTATCCTACCTTAACTCTTTTAATGATTTCTGAGTCAATATCGATATGGTGCCCATCAACAATATGGTCTATCATCCTCACTGACATGTGCTCATGACACCTAGAATGAATATAACACACAACATATGTCCTCAAAAATGACAGAAAACCAATTTCACATAAAGCCTTCTTGTCCCAACCTTCTTAAGAAGGAATAAATGGCTTACATTATACATCCCACAAGAGATAAAAAGACGCACCAATCTTATAAAACAACCCAGTAAGGTCCCAATCTTATATAAGAACTCAATAGGAATATATCCCATTAAGGAAACACTTGTAGCTAATTAGAAGTAGTTATTCACAAAACATGAACAGATAGAGCATGATTACATCTGTCTCCATGCTGCATAGATATTAAATACTTGAGATTGAATATATTCAAATACAAGAATATTACTTCCACTGTTCCACATAAGGACTTACCACTCTGAGCCACTAGAGACCCTAGGAAGAAACTCGCGTTCAAACATATGACTAAACGGTCCATGCCCAATATCATGCAGGAGACCTGGCAAATTAATAGTGGTAGAAAGAAAGCATTAGTTAAACTAGAAATAGATACACATGGTCCATGTCAAAACATCATGAGTTGCTTGCCTGCAAGTTTCACTGTTTGCAAATCAAAAGTATCGATGTCAAGCTCTGATCCCTAAAAAATAATAGATGTTATATCAAAACGAATTGAATTCTACATGAATGGCATGTCTTAATATCATACTTGGTGGCTTTTAAGCTTATGAATAGCTTCGCCAGCTAGCCAATAAACTCCAAGTGAATGCTCAAATCTTGAATGCACAGCTCCTGGATAAACCATGTTTGCCACACCTAAGAGAATGCCAGAAAGTTGCATCAGTAAATAGTTCATGCATTAGTTAAATGATATGATTATATGAAGTCCACAAAAGTTGAATTTTTGTTAGATGATATCCAAAATCCTAGAAATCCTAGCAAAAGTAGCAACCGGACTATGAAATGCCAAAAACAGTTTACAATAAAGCAGGAGCTGCATAAGATCACAAATTTACCTAGTTGTTTAAGATCACGAAGCCTGAAAGAAAAAAATCATCATTACTCGATATGTGGATAGAGAGAGAGAGAGAGAGAGCATGAAATAATAAATACAATCACATCTCTGTGGAAAGAACACAGTGAGTGTGACATTAAAATCAGTTATTAGTGTGAGCGTGAAAATGAACTTGCCTCTGGAATTGCTCTGTATCAATAAACCTCAAAAGGAGCTGTCAATAGATTAACAAATATTAATATTTACATAAAGATAGTTATTAAATATTATTCTAAAAAAAACTACATGCACATCAGTAAAACAGATAGAAGCTAATGCTGCTTATAAGAGTTTAATGGAATGTGAAATTGAAAGTAGTAAATTCCTTGATTCCACATTTCCACCATGACCAGAACTCAGAAGAAATGCTAATGCATGGAAAAAGCTTAGCCTGAGACCTCAAAAATAGCTCTCTGTTTTCCAAATTTAGTTGTCCACCTTTCAATGTAGCTCAAATTTAAGTAATGATGATAAAATAAGGAGTAGCAAAAACATCCCTCAAATTAGATTGCATATTATCAATTGGGGGTAGGGGCAAACTTTGATGACTTTAGTTTTTTTTCTTTCTCTATTGATACTATCATTAACAATTACCTGCCGGAGTGTATTCCTTAACCTTTGTACTACAGTTATAATCAGGAGTATATCTCAATAAGACAATAAACATAATTAGCACAAGTGCATAGTATCAGTAACCATAAATTTTGTATGAATGAAAAATTTTATCAAGAGTAGCAAAGCTAACCACCTAAAGAACGAGAAATTAGTTACCGGGTCAACGTAGATGTTACCATGAACGTTATCATGGACTTGCTTCGAGAATCGCAGATCTCGGAACGACGTGAAATTGTATGCCGGAAGGGAAGTGAAGTCGTCGTTGCAGAAGGCTCCCATCCTCTTCAATGTCTGTTCCAAACTTCCACCGCCTGAAATGCGGTCCTCCAAACCTAAGCATAACAGTATAGAAAGTACGGATTCACGCGAGTATCCCGGTACAAATTTCAAAATTAGGTGATACTCGAGAATGAAATTGAACGGAGGAAATCAGAGAAAATGCGTTACATACCGTCGGAGACACCGGAGGGAGGGTGAAGACGGCGAGTTAGGCTACCGGAAAGTGAGAATGGTTGTTGTGGAGGAGCAGAAGCGGAGTAGCAGGAGGCCAGACATAGAAGTATAGAACAGACGAGGAGTTGTGTATAGGGCGGCAGCCGTTTTACACTTTTACGGAATTACGGCGGCCAGCTAATAATGGGGAAAATGGGAATAGTAGCTAATCGCTTTCAACAGCCGGATATTAAGGGATTCGGTGATTTCTTTCAAATTCATTTTGTTTAAATACTCTATATTAAAAGCTAGATAAAGGTGTACCTCATTTGTACACCACCCCCTTCAAAACCATTAATTTATTTTAGATTTTTATTTACTTATTTTTTTTAATTTTCTTTCCTATTTGAGTGGTAATGGAGGGGGTGATGGACAAATGGGGTACACCAAAGTGTACCCCTAGCATTTACCATATTAAAATCATGTATTCCTCTTAATTTTAATTTATAGTATTTGACTAAAATTATTTTAAATATATTTTATATATAATAGATGATACGTTTTTAAAAATTATATAAAAAATTTTACAAAACAAGAGATAACATGACTGTATTATTTTATAATGTGAGTAACAAAAATAAGAAAAGAAAATGAATAACTTTTGATTAGTAAACAAGCAACTCAGATTCTAACGGAGAGAGTACTAAGAAATAAAGGAGTGTTTAGTGAGCTCAGAAGATATAAGTTATGATGTATCTCGATATTAGAATTACTTCCTCCATTTTAAAACATTTTTTTTTGTTTTAGTTTCTGTGATTTGACTTAATTATTTTCAATCTAATTTATTTGATTATATGTGTAAAATTTTAAAAAATTATATATTTAGAGTACTTAAAAACCATATAAAAGGTTTGCCAGACAAGATAAGATATGGAGTAACTATATTATTATATTAAATGACTAATGAAAATGTATACATAAAGTAACTAATGTTTATTGAATGAATAGTAACTCAAACAAAAATTTAGAATGCATAGAGTCTTTTTTGTGTTTAGTGTACCCTCTAACATAAAAAGAATGTGAAATTAGTTTCATCAAAAATCACAAACTCTCCAAAAGAAGGTTTATTTGTATCTTTTATATTTGAGATACGAAATATATCGATAAGGTGCTTGATATCTCACTTAACCGTCAACCACTCCCATCAGCTATTATTGTCAATGTCAACCCCCTCGTTGCCGGCCACCACATGTTATCAGCTAACTTATAAATTAAAAACAACTTATAAGTAGTTTTGATAAACTTATAAGCATAAAAAATACTTCCTCTGTCCTAAAACTTTCTTCTCATTTCCCCTTTTTCTCCGTCCTAAAACTACCTTCCCATTAGAAAAAAAAGATGACAAATGACATGAGAGTATATACGCAGACCTCATGATTGTAAAAAAAAATTTCAAAAAATCTTTTTTAAGGATGGTAAAATTTGAAGTCAAAGCCAAAAATTAAAAGTGGGAAAAGTTAAACTGGGAAGAAAGAATTAAGACGGAAGGAGTACCTACAAAGTTGTATCGAGATATTTGAAATCATAATTTAATTAGCCCATCGCCAAAATAGAAGTTGACACTACCACTTTTATACTGTCACACTCACCAGTCACCACATTTCGTATAGCTATTGTAGTTACTCCGTTTTTTCTTTTTTTCTTTTTTCCATATTTCGTATTACTTCTCGTCCGAGTAGCCAGTAGGAACCAACTATATTGCATTGCCACTTTTTTTATACTCGTATTATTTAATAATCATTTTTGTTATATTTTCTTTAATAAGATTTCAGATTTATTAATTTCAATATGGTGAAATTATAAACTTGAATATCCAAAATTAAATAATAATAAAAAGGGAGTAAAATTATTAATAATTATAATACGTTGAAGTATGAAAAAATATTAATTTGTTATTGCAAGTCATGGCACTCTATTCAATTGTCACAGCGTGACTAAATTATTTTTTATTGGTTGAAGTGTCGACATTCTACTTTCTACTCCCTACTTGTCATTGCTCATTCCATTTTGGGCTGTAAATCATTGAGCTAATGCCAAAGTCCAGGCCCAAGTTTACCAATCCAAGTCTTATCTAAACAACGGATAGAAAAGCCAAAGACAAACGGCGACCATGCCGGTGGCGACACACCCTTCTGCTGCTCTGCAACTCCACAACCGAAGATTCAACTCGAACTCTTTCTCACCGTCTCTCCTCCGCGCACGTCGGCGCCACGCATTTTCCCGGCGGATTGTTAGAATTACGGAATCGTCTAATGGGACCGCCCTCGGCGTTAAGGCGTACATGGATGAGAGCAACTCCTTTTCCGGCTTTGCCAAAAAGGTCATCGGTTCGCTACCTGTGATCGGACTCATCGCCAGAATCGTCAGCGGAGAGGGCGGAATCGGCGGAGATTTGATCGATTTTGCCGAGTTCAGAAGGAGAGTGGGAAACAAATCTTCCATCACCGATTCAGACGCTTTCTATGAATTTCAAGATCTGAGAGGCCGGGTAATGTTAATCATCGTCTCTCATTGCGCCTGAATTGCGAGGTTATGTCAATTTCTGCTTTAATTTGAGTTTGTGTGTGGTTTAGGCTGGGGATCCTTTGCATGTTCTATTATGCTGCTGGCTAGCTGCGATCGGTGCTGGTCTGCTAAAATCCGAGGAGATACTGGACGGGGCTGCAAGGCTTCGTTTATCGAACGATATTGAGTTCGAGGAGCAATATTTCATGGATATGATGAAGCAAGCAAGAATGGTTAGTCTGTCTATACTTACTTTATTCATTGATGCTGCACCTTTTTTCTTTCTTTCAAATCTTAGCCCTTGTTTGGTGATTGAATAATGTTGAATAAGATGAACAATGTAGATAAAAAGATAGAGTCATATTAAACAATGGAAGGGGAATTTTGAGATACATTTGCTAAATCCACCCAATTTATATTAAAAAGACATGTTTTACCCTTAACAATTTAAAAAAAGAAAGAAAAGGGGTGATGGACACAACTGTCCATTTATCATTAAATGGAGTGGATATAGCCAATTGAGGTGTGGATTTAGCATCAACATAAAAGAATGTGGACAAAATCCTAAACAGGAGTTTTGGAGTGAATGATTGAACATGGAGCAGTGTTGTGCCAGTGTAATTCAACATGAAGTTGCTAAAATGATTGAATTCTTCCCCTCTTTTCTTCCACTTGGGGGAGATAAACAGTGGTAACAGAGTCCAAACAAGTCATAATTAAGACTCATTACATACTGAGTTGAGTGTGTTTTCATCCTAAAATCAACGAGCAACATGATATACTCTCTTGTGAGACCCCATTTGTAAGCAGGAGCAGACCCGGAGTAAGGTCTGCGTATATACTCTCCTCAGACCCTCTACTCTTTTGTGAGACCCCATTATCATGATTGAAGAGTTTGCCTTCATTTTATTTGAATGGGTTGAACAAATTTCAGAAACGAGAAAAACTGAGGGCTCCAAACCCGAGCATACCCATGGAAATCAGAGCCGAGAAAGCAGTTGATGCGATTTACGTGTGCTGCTTTGGGATGGATCCAATGGGAGAAGAAGAACAAAGGCTGCTATGCATCATGCTTGGGGCTGTTTTTCCCACGGTTGGGAAGCAGGAGGTGGAGAGGATTGTGAAAGCAAAGGCAAATCGAATAGCAGAAGGATCAGAGGATGAAGCCAAACTTCGTGCGCCCAAGTCACTGTCGAAAGAAGCTGTCCGGATTCAATTGAAGGATTTGGAATTTCTGAAGCGACAAAACGGCTTTGGGATTGCAAGAGATGCAGACAATTGACTTATACAAGTCGGCAAGAATGCCATGCCATAAATATCTTGAGAGCTGAGGTATGTATGAGAACTATACAGACCTAGATGAGATGATCAGTGAAATTCCGAGAGTTTGAAGTTAAAAGAAAATAATTCCCAGGCCAGAATCTTTATCTCATTTGTTGTATTTATGCTTAAATATTGTAAATCTTGCATATTTGTGTTGAGCTCTTAAGACCACCTGCTCTATAATTATTTCTTGAAAGAGTGCCCAAGTACAAATCAAAGCATACCAGCATAAACTAAAAGTGAAATATATCAAAGCATACCAGCATAAACTAAAAACGCTAACGTTAAAAGCTACCGTCAGATAACTTTTTCAAAATGTTAACATTAATTTCTGATATTGATGTCAAACGAGGCTTAAAGACACACACACACACATATTAGAGTTTTCTTCTTTAAATACGCGCTACATCCTAAAAAAACATTACACGTTTGACTTTCACAAAATTTACATTTCACTTGTTTGACGTTCACAAAATTTAAGAGAATTGTTAAAAAAAAATAGTGAACAATTCAAATTTTTGGAAAGCGGAAAATTTTGTATTTAAGAGAATTGTTAAAAAAAATAGTGAACAATTCAAATTTTTGGAAAGCGGAAAATTTTGTAGTCACATACTCCGTATTCAACTAAAAAAAAGTGTAATAAAGAGGGTAGGATTTTTTTTGGCACGCCCAAAAAATGGAATTAGGATTATTCCGAGTTGCAGAATTTAGTTATTATTATTATTACTCCGTATTATTTAGTAGCTCTCATAGCATCAATGCAATATCTGTTCAATCTTATATTTTTTAAACGTAAGGGTTGAGCTCAAACACTGGATATGGAAAAGTTTGAGGTAGTTTTCTTGTCATCGCGCAAACATTCTTCCAGTGCAGAATCTATTCGTCCCAAAATGGATGTTCCGTTATCATTACGACTTTTCAATAATTTTTGTTTGTTTATATATTTTTTTCATTGATCATTTGATATAATAAAATATTGTCATATTTATTCTATAGAACTTTTATGTATTTTCAAATGATGTAATTTATATTTTTTTATTTCTATACAAGTATATATTTAAAATAAATTTGAAAGTGATGAAAGTTTACACATTGTTCAGATAGTGATATGCTTTGTAGAACGGAGAACGTATAAAAAAGAGTTGAATCAAAAAGCCAATTATGATAAATCCAAGGCGCAAATCAACTTGGAATAATTACAGAGGGTAGTAATTTTAGGATGGGTAATTGGGCTGAAGCCCAGTAAAAAAAGCATAGGTCCCGAGAGTCAATGCCCCTCCTTTCTTCTCTCACGAACAAGAGTCAAATTGTCAAAAGCATCTCAATCCAGTTCACTCTATAACCGCGATTTCAGTTATGATAACCCGCCCTGGTTTACGAGAAAAGAAAAAAATTTATCAGAGGAACCCATCCTTTACCACTGCCATTTCCTTTCCTCCTGCAGCCTTTTGCTCTGTGTGAATCTATGTTCTAGCAGAACCATATGGAGTCCACGAAACCAGAACCCATTCCCCACCTGGTGCCCGGAAAACCGGAATCGGTTTCTCATCCGGTATCAGAGATAAAAGAAGTGGTTTCTCGGCCTCAACTGAACTTAGAAGATCCGGGGGAAGATGCTGCTTCAGATTCTTCCCCGGCTAGTTCCAGCCAAATGGAATCCAAAATTCCACAGCCCATTTCTCCTCCGGTGCCCGGAAAACCGGATGATCCTGTGCATGTGAAAGAAGAAGCTGGTTCTCAAGAGAATTTGGAAGGAACCGGAAAAGCTACTGCTTCAGATTCTCCGCCAGCTTGCTCCAGCCGAATGGGATCCAAAAAACGTGTGCTCATTCCTCAGCCGGTGGCCGGGAAATCAGAATCTGTCTCTCGTCATCCGTCGCAGAAGAAACCAAAATCAGTTTTTGACTGGATTTCTAAAGAAACCCACAAAGAAACTGCTTCAGATTCTTCTCTGGTTAGGTTCTTCGAGATGGAAAACTGGAAACAGGACCCGGTGACCGGAAAACCAGAAACCGCTGTTTCTTCAGATTCATCCCCAGCTAGCTACGAAGAAAATTCTACCACTAATATTCACAAGCACACTACCAGCGGAGATGGTATTACTGATATACAATATTCTCCGCCGGCAGAATCGGAGGAGAAGGCAATTATATCGGTGGGGGAGGATGTGGCGGGGGAGGAGGCGAATGGGAAGAGGTCAGGGGAACAGGATTCTTTGGCCTTGGTGAAGATTGACCAGTACGGCGCCGGAGACATGGACGGAGGTGGTGGTGCGGGAGGAGGAAGAGGCGGCGAGAACAGGCGGCGGTTGAAGGAGAGCTTGTCGGAGCTGAGGAAGTCGGAGAGGCAGAAAGCGATGAAGAAAGGTGCTTTGAGCTTTAGGGTGTTTGGATTTGTGTTGTGTCTGGCTTCGTTTTCGCTGATGGTGGCTAATCGGAAGCAGGGCTGGGCTATGGACTCTTTCGAGCTTTACAGGGAGTTCAGGTTTTTTTTTTCCTTTAACACAAATTTACCCGAATCTGGGCCTGCCCTTATGCACTCAGACCCGGTCCTACGCAGATTGGACAATTGTGATCCAACAGATAAATTGCTGGATCACAATTATCTCTTCCACTATTTTTAGTGTTAAAAAATAAGATAAAATAAGAATAGATAGAAACCATACAATGATACAAAAATAATACTTCCTCCATCCGATTATTTTTTCGTTTTGACTTAGTTCGGAAATTAAAAAAATTAAAAAAGTGAGCAGTATAAATGAAAAGTGGGGTGTAATGATACATTTATTAAAAGTATTCTGTCAAAATAAGAAATGAGAAAGAAATTTTTGGACAACCAAAAATGAGAAAGAAATTAATAGGCGGAGGGAGTACTAGTAAGATATATTATGAGACAAAAATAATGGGACTAAAAAAATCAAACATAGAAGACAAAATAATGAGTGCGAAGGGATATACGCGAGTTTGATTCTAAGTGTGTTGGAAAGCAACTATGCTAAAACTACAAGTATCAGGTATATGTTCCACTCTTTGTCATTTATATGCGATCAAAGTCCGATTTAATTTCTCTCATTGACCATTTGACCGGGGCTGAGAGGGATATTGGAGATAGAGCTCATCCCTTTTTTTTGGAAGACAGAGATAATGGGATAGAAAGTACTGCATGGGCAGGGAAATTAAGCATTTATGGTAGATTGACTAGAATTAAATGTGGTGTTGACAAGGAAACGGGATTGGCAGGTACTCGGTGTCAGTGAATGCCATGGGATTTGTATATTCAGGAGCACAGGCAATTGATTTGATTTACCACTCTGCAACCGGAAAAAATGTTTTCCAGCACCCTTTGCGCTCTCTCTTTGATTTCTTGGTCGATCAGGTAAGTTCCTTCATACTTTTAGGATCAAGGGATTTGAAATCTGGAATGAATGAAGATATGAATTCTAATATCTTAATTGAAAGTGTCCTAAAATAGATCTGAAATAATGGTTGTTAGTGACAGACATGAACTGGCCAACAGCAATGATATTAAAAATTCCGGATTGATATCTCTCGAATTCGGGAGATATCAAAACACCCCATTTCTGATGGTTACAAAATGAAGAGATATCAAATCCTGAGCTCACTAAACGGGTCCTTCGTATATCAAATCAGAAGTACTGCTTTAGTATTGATAATGGTCAGTTGCGCCACGAAAATTTAAGGCAGCTTTGGTTGAAATTTCAGGTGATAGCATACCTTCTAATATCTGCATCGTCTTCGGCTATCACACGAGTTGAAGAATGGCGATCCAATTGGGGAGAGGACAAGTTCCCAGATATGGCATGTGCTTCTGTGATCGTGTCCTTCATCGCATTTGTTGCCTTGGCATTTAGTTCTCTCATATCTGGTTACGCCCTTTGCACTCCCAAACCTGTGCACACATGAGTGATCACAATTCACTGACTTGCAAAATTTACACCTTTTTTTCTCTTCACAAATTTTGTATATTTAGGGGCTGTTCTTTGTTACACCATTCTGGTTCTTTATGTAATCAACTTGATACAAACATGTATGATTTCTTTAAAACGAAAAAAAAACAAATTATCTTAGCATCTTCGAAGTTTTATTTCTATATATTAAGAATCAGTCGAGCTTCGCAGCTAGTTGGCGGGAACTCCAAGTGGCGTTTTTCTTGGAAGGCGAAGACGAAGAGGAAGGAAGAATGATGGTGGGCAACCTCATGCTCTCTTCAACATGAGGGAAATCAACCGTGTAGTGAAGGCCGCGGCTTTCGTGCCTTGAGAGGGCACTACTCACCACCAGCTTGGCACAACAGAAGAGGTTCCTCATCTCACAAGCCTCCAACCCAACCATGGTTCCTTCCCAACCCTGGTTAAATAAGTAGGCTTTCCACTCCATTTCCAACTCCCCGATCCTCTTCTCCGCGGTCTCCAGCCTCGTCGTTGACCGGACAATCCCCACATATTCCCACATGATAGACTGCAGTTCCTCCCTCGTCTCCCTCGTCCGCCGTGCAATTCTGTTCATCACCGCGTCACCAAGAAAGGTGGGGACCACGGGCGGGGCCCACCAGCCTGGGGTGCTTCCGGAGCATGATGACATGTAGCGGTCGATCGAAGGCTGCACGGCTCTCCGGGCAAACACCAGAGCCTCTAGCAATGAGTTGCTGGCCAGCCGGTTTGCTCCGTGCAACCCCGTGCAGGCAACCTCGCCAGCTACATATAACCCCTGCACATTGGTCTCCCCGTGGAGCCCGGCACGGACTCCTCCACACATGTAATGGGCGGCGGGGACCACAGGGATAGGTTGACGGGTAATGTCCAGTCCATACTTGAGACACTCGGCCGCTATGTTTGGGAAATGGTCAAGAATCTCTTCTCTATCCCTATGACTGATGTCTAGGAGGACATATTTTTCGTTGCGCTTTTTGAGCTGGTCGTCTATGCTTCTTGCTACCACATCTCTCGGTGCTAGTTCTGCTCTCTCATCGTATAGGGGCATGAACCTCTGCATGTCCATGTTATAAAGGATGCCTCCATCACCCCTGACAGCTTCTGTGATCAGAAAGGCACTTTCGCGGGCATGCGCCGGTCTTAAGGGGAGACCTTCATCAGCTAAGGCAGTTGGGTGAAACTGCACAAACCTGTAAACCACAACTGTTATGCACAGAATATAGTCTAGCAAGTGGTTTGATGTTATTTTCTGAGCTTGGTTTTGGTTACTTACTCCATGTTAGAAATGACAGCCTGAGCTCTATAAGCCATAGCTATTCCATCACCGGTGGAGACCTTTCATAACATTTACCACACCATAGTTAGAACGAATCATGGCAGTAATGCTTTACCCTACGTATGGTCATTTAGTAAGAATGAAAAGAAGGTAACTAGGTAAGACATGGAGAAAGAAGAGAAGAAAGATTCAAAATTTATTATGGAGTACTCCGTATAAAACTTAGCCATTTATCCTACTTATTTTATATTTGAAATTTATTGTGTATGTTGCAAAGGTTTAACTTATACAATGTGATTTCCATTACCCTCCAATATCAATAATTCAAACAATTAAAAGTAAATGTATTTGCTTTGCTTTCACCCAATATTCCAATGAAAAATTTCCAAAACATAGCCATAAAGTTTGAAAACAATGATCAATGATAAGAACATGACAACTTCAACACCAGGTGGAAAGTCTTAAATAAAAGTTATTGAAGAAAAAGAGGTGAACCCCTACCAGAGGATTAGTGGTTGATGGATAAATATGCCCAGCTCCCCCTGAAGCAAGCAGGGTAACCTTTGAAACAAATCTTACTACCTACAGTTCAATTGGGAGGCGACACAACAATAACATTAATTGAAAGTCCCTCGAAATACACGAACTTAAGAATAAGAACAAACCAAGGAGGTATCTTACCTCAGAAGTTTCAGTATTCAAGGTGTCAACTCCATGACAGGTTGTGACAGAACCATCCTGCAGCCAGAATTCACATTGGTATAATTTAATGCACTCCATGCCTAAAATCATAACCAGACTCTTAAGGTCCATTTGGAACTCCATAACATTAGGGAAACATATAGGGAAAAATTTATAGGAGAAATTTAGAAAGAAAAAATGCAAGGGGAATAGAATGTGTTCAAACTCAATAAAGTTGCTTTTATTTGATTTATCAATTTCAATTATATTAAACTAAGACATCTAAATGTAAGTGAAACTTCTTTTCCTAATTCCCTGTCATTTTCAGGTATCCAAAGATACCCTCAAGATTTACTCAAATAAAACCATTCCAATGTTTGTCAGTTGTTCATCCATCACATTCAAAATATTGTTTTTTAACGGTTTCAGTAGTCCTCGTGAGAATTTCTAGCACAAAAACAAGGCAACAAGAGCATGAGAAACTAACCTGTGACGTAAGCAAGTCTATTGCAAAATGGTGCTCAAAAACATAAACGTTTGGATCTTTTTTTACTGCCTCTAACAATGCTCTCTCTATTTCCCTGCCTGTCATATCTGCTGCATGCACAATTCTGTGATGAGAGTGCCCTCCTTCCCTGGCAAGGTGTAAGTTCCCATCCTCACCGTGATCAAATGAAGCCCCCATAGCTATCAACTCTTTAATTCTTTCAGGTCCTTCTGTGCATACAACCTGGAGATAAAAATCTACCGATGAACTAGCATAATTTCTATAGAATGCAATCCTAAAAAAAGGAACAATCATTGTCATAATGTTGCGTATCCTGGCATCAGTTATCTAGTTGTCCAATCTGATTAGGACAGAGGTGCATGTTGAGCATCCACATTTCCATGTTGATAGCCTACTTGATATGAGTCCCATTATTTAAATAAACGTAAAACAGTAAAACCTCACATCTTGATGATCTATTTTGGGATGAGTTTAGACTTTAGAGCAATTTAATATGTATTAATTAAAATTCAAGAAAACATACTCTGACCGTCTCCTCATCACAGAGGTAAGCACCAGCTACAATTGTATCTTGTATATGGCTCTCTACCGAATCCTTAGGACAGAGAACAGCACTCACACCACCCTGTGCATAGTTAGTATTGCTTTCATGTGGCTCAGCTTTTGTTATGACTGCCACAGTTCCATATTTTGCAACCTCAAGAGCATATCGAAGGCCAGCAACCCCACTACCAATAACAGCAAAGGCAAAATACTTGGTAGAGCCATTTCTAAGGCATGATGTGACTGCTGGTTTGGGGGATTTCCTATTCACATAAGCCTGAGAATGTGAAGCATTGTCTCTTGATAATAATTTGGATGCACTACTGCATGACCTGGGAAAAATTCAGAAAAATAAAATTGGAAGAACTTTGAAGTTTATTCTGCAATCTGCATCAATCCCTTCCAAATGCAAGAAACTGAACTTTTTGGCAGTAAATTAAATAACAGCATTTTAACTAAAAAAAATGAGTTGCTAGTTCAACTTGGCTCGCTTGCTCCATGGTGAGCAAGCTAACTTGCACCATAGTAATTAAATGAAATACAGAAAAAATTGTGAGGTTGATAAATTGAAAGTTATGGAAAAACAATGTGAAATACAGAACTCATTTCCTAAAAAGTACTCCGTAAATGAGAATCAAATTTAGGCACATCTGAAAAAAGAAAACAATAACAAAATTAATCAACAAAAAATGCTAATCAAATGAGCATCATAAGAAGGTAAATAACAGATCTAGAATAATGATTCTCCTATGGCATACCAAGACAACGCTTTATGAATGCTGCTCTGAATGGATACGCTAGGAAAGCAACGAGGATGTTTCCACCTGGGACCCCTGTATGCAGAAATACTAACATGAAGATGGCTGCTTCCTGAAGCAATGTTAGTCGCCATTCCTGTTTATCTGCAAGCGCAAAGAGAATTAAAAAAGTTCATGGACCTGAATAATCGTTTGATCGAGATTTAATGTTTGGGGATTGGGGATTCTGATTTATTAATAAAACACCAATTGCTTAGAAGAAAAAAATCAGAAATACGTTGGCTGATTTGGGAGGATGTTGAAGAAAGAGACCGTGAGGGAGGAGCAGTAAATATTGGGCGCGCGGCACGGGACTCTTTCACGGACCTAGTTTTTGATGCCGGGCCAGAGTGGGCGGCGGTCTCCTCTTTGCGGCGGTTAGGAGTGGTGGTTGGTGGCCCTCCACTTTGCCTGTCAGGTGTCAATTGCTCTGTCGCATATTTGCAGGAGGAAGGACGATGGGGCGGTCCCAAGGAGCGCATAGCAAATGGCAAAATATTCAAATGTCGGTATATACGGAGTATATACTCCTATTTCCTATTCTGAATTGGGTGAGGCTATGGGCATATTTGGATATTTTTTTAGGAAAGTTTTTGGCTATTTTGGTGTGACTTTAGTTTTTTGACTGATTAAATAACCAATTAAGAGGACAAATTATATTATACATCCGGTTATACCTTATACCTAATTTTGGGTACAACCAGTAAGTAGAAAGAAGAAGAAGAGTTGCATCGATCGGAATCAGAAGAGAAAGGAGAGGTTTAATTGGGTCGGGCCAGGCTACTGTATGGAAGGAGAGGTGCTCCTTGGCCGAGGAAGCTGCTAATGGTTGCATCGATCGGAATCGGAGAAAGGAGAGGTATAATCGGGTCGGGTCACACTGCTGCTGTATGAAAAGAGAGGTGCTCCTCGACCGAGGAAGCTGCTGATCGGTGCTGGATAAAAAACTCTAGTCGGGTTCGGGTCTGGTGGCTTAGGAGAGAAAAAATTATTTATAGTATGAGTTTTATTTTACATGAGAACGAACACTAAATTATTTGAGAATGAGTACTGTTTTGTTTCAGAATGAATACTACATTATTTGTAAATGAATATTATAATTATATTGAACCAATGTGTGAAAATGAGTACTGCATTATTTTAGAATGAGTACCACGCTAATTATATTTCTGCGAGAATGAGTATTACTATACTTCAGAATGAGTAGTGCCCGGACGTACCTATCTCTAGGTACATCCGGTTGTACGATATAGGAACTCAATTAAGAGTGTTTGGCAAACAGTTGTTGAAGTTGCTGTTGGATGTAAGAGTTCGAAAAACAAAATATCAAAATGTAGGAGTAGTAGTCTTTCGAATTGGTTGTTGGTTGTTGGAGTATAATTATTTGTTGCATAAATATATTAAATAAATGCACAAATAAACAAATAAATAAGTACGGATTAAATAAATAAATACTCCCTCCGTCCCAAATTATAATTTCTGTTTACTATTCACAGGGTCAAACTTCATTCACTTTCTTTCTCTATTTTCGTTAGCAATTTGATAAAATAAAATATGATTGTCACTACTAGTTTTGTAGATCTTTTGATATAGTTTTTTAATGTGTAATTTTAATTTTTTAATTTTATACCATTTATCATATAAAATGGTTTGAAAATAATTTCAGTCAAACATCGTAAACCGAAACAGGCATTATAAAATGGTACGGAGGGAGTACATAAACCGAAACAGTCAACGCTGAGTCTCTTCCAGTCGATTAGTCTCCTCTGGAAATGGATTTTCGCCCTCCATCTCTATGTGCTTCCATCACACTCTTTTGCAAACTAGTCTTCGATCTTATTCCTACAAATTTGAACTTCAAATAATCTTACTTCCAGGTAGATGATTTGAATCATTCAATCATGGATTCATGGTGGATGCTAATTTTTAGATTATATTTTATTCAATATATTGGATTTTTGTGAAGCTAAAATTTAACCTTTTTCAAAAATAGATGTTATTTTTTTTGAAAACTGATGTTGATAGATCAATTTCAAAAACATAAAGCTATGAAAAACTTTTTCAAGAGAAAAATATTAGTAGCGTCATGAATGCCATTAAGGAAGGATTTCCAAATGTAAAAGTAATGAAAGTGATTAATGTGATTTTTAATGAACTCTTCACACTATGGGTGTTCTAAGAATTTTGGAAGGAAAATAAAAGGAAATGATTTTTTCTCATTTTCTTCCCAAAACGAAGGGAATTTGATTCCCGCATTTAGTATATTTGTCTTCTCATTTTCTTTTTTTCTTAACACTTTTCCTCTCCAACTATACTTGAAAAATTATTTTCCACTTCATTTTTTGTTCTTTTACCTTTCAAAATCCTTGAATCAAACATAATTAGGCCTCGTTTGGTACACGGAATTCAAACTATAGAATTGGAATTGAGGACCTCAATTCTAATTCTCGTATTTGGTAGCACAAAAATTATGTGGATTTGGAATTGGTAGTGCAAAAAAATGAATTGGAATTGATGAATTCAATTCTATAGAATTGAATTCCATGGAATTTTAATTCAAATTCAATTTCAATTCCATCAATTTCGTTTACCAAACGTACCCTTAATAGAACTTAATAAATCGGCATACGGAGTATTATTTTGGGGGGATTTTTGGTAAAATTTGGAAGTATTGATTTAGTGAAGGCAAAGAAAGAAAATGTTACTTTGTCCCAAATTTGATTTTTAATTGAAAATTACTAGGTAAAATTAGACAAATTTTGAAATTGTTTTATTTATAAATTAATACATCAATAAAAATTAAAATTGCATACAGAGTATTAAAAAATACTTCAAAAAACTACTCCAAAAATTATAAATTGTATACGTGGCATTTAGATGTTCCGGGAACTTTTTGCCACGTTATCACCGCCATGGGTTCGATACGTTGAAGCAATCAACGATGGCTTATGCGCGGGTTCCGAAATTTCCGCTCCAAAAGAGCATTTGAGCAACTGCCGCTTCACCCTCACCGGCCTCAAGATTGAATCACACCTAGAATTTGCAAAACCGACCAGCGTCTACGAATCAATCTCGAAGATTTCCTACGGTACCGGAAGAAGATGTGGAGCTGGTGGTCGATCTTCAGAGAACCGCCGCCACCGGTGGTGCTGGTTCCTCCGCTTTTCGATTACCCCCCTCTCGCTGCTCGTACAAGGTTCTCCCGACTGGATGTGGCGATTTTTTTCGTTTTAAATTGTAATCGTTGTAGACCTAATTTCTCCATTTCATGAGAGGCTTTAATGTTCTGCGCAATACTTCTACATTTCTGGTTGAAAAACTGTATTGAGGTCATTTGGGAATGTAATGTAGGATGCTGGAATCATCGTACAACTTGCTATTTGGGAAGCTTGCGTTGAGATGCCTTTTTGACGATTACTTTGAGGAGGCTAGGAACTTTAGCACCAGAATTATGCTGAGGCCCATTGATGATCCTCATGTTGATTTGATTGCTACTGTATCCCACAACTTGCTTACTGATTTTGCTTCCCATATCTGTGAATATTCATATAACCAGAATCTGGAAATATAAAGCTGATGTAGAATCACAGTTATGGTTTATGAGCCTTCAGCTCAATGAAACTGCAAAATGTTTCCTTAGCAATTTAAGGTTTCACGTCCACTCGTTAAAAAATCCAATGCTGGCGAGGAGCTTGTAGGGAATGCACAATTTAGGTGGCAAAGGTATTACAAGATTATCGGCATTCATGAATTTAATATATATCTGTTTCATTGAATATATCTGTTTTTTTATATTAATTAATGGTTTAACGTAACTTTGTAAAAATATGAAATGTCTTTCAGTGACATTGAGGATCCTCATTCATTTATCGATCTTTCTGTCTCGAATTCTGAACCGTAAGTATCTAAGTTCTCTAAGAGCTTCAACACTTTGTGTGTGTGTGCGCGCGTGCACACACCTACATGAGGGATTTGAGACAAGGATATTGCTAATTTCTTTTTCCCGGTTGCATGACTAGAATTCTACTGTTGAGATCATCTGCATTTTATCCTAAGTATGGGATCGGTGCTTTTGGAATTTTTCCAGTCCCGCTAAAGAGAAGGTTTGTTTGGAAACACCATCAAATTGGAACAAACCTCAACGTTTAAGATTCAGCCAAACTTATTATACACATGATACTTTTGCAGAGTATCTCCTGAAGATTTTGGAGTTGTGGGCTTGAGATATGGCTCTTCAAATCTGTCATTTGGAGCTACAATATTGCCTTTCTCTTGTACGAGAACTTTTAGTATACTCCTTACATTTTATCAAAATAAAAACACTATAACCATACCTGCTGTAACTTCTTCATGCATAAGTCCCGAACATTTTAGTTGCCTCATAAGTCATATATAACAGATATTTTTGGGCTTGCATTCAAGAGCTCTGAGGCCTTTTCATTTCTCTGCAGCAGCCGCTGATGTTCCAAAAACTGCATGGTTGGTGAGCAAGGTGGGAAGGTTAACTGCAGGGGTGCAGTATGAACCACAATGTACCAAATTTAAACCCAAAAATATCCTATGTAAGGTTGCAGAATTCAACTGTATATGATGCAAATTGATATTGTTCTCTCTTTTCTGTTTGATACTCAAATTAGTTGGAAGCAAAGATGTACCGAAGTATAAGGACTCAGCAAACTGGAGCTGTGCAGTTTGCTATGGAGTGGGATCTGGAAGTCCTTTGAGCCCATCCTTCAATTTTGGTCTGGAACTTTCTAGAAATTCACAGGTTTTTGTAATCTCCATTCAATATAAATTTATAATATTGCATCACATGGTCACATTCTTTAACCAAAAAAAATCTTTGCAGTTTATTGCTTCATTTTACCAACATGTGGTGGTTCAAAGACGGGTATGTGCTCACATTCTTTCTCTCTGTACTAATGTACACTTCACTGGTAGCAACAGGAAGCTGATAGTATATTCAATATCTTATAGCCATATAGTCTATATGTTGAAAGATTGAAAGGTAATGTATTAGAACACATAGGGAGCGATATATAATAGTACAGGAAACCTTACTTTCCCAGATGTTGAATCCTTTCACTTAGGCTTCAAATCAAACTTACATGAAGTGAATGTGATGTCATATACTCCGTATGTAAATTCATATAAGGTTTCACATAAGGTAAAGTTAGCTAGTCAACTAATCAGACTATCTCTATTGCTCTTACAGTTGTACTCTAATAGAATACTAAGACTTCTTTTTGTGTGTGTGTGGCGTTATAGGTTAAAAATCCTCTTGAAGAAAATGAAGTAGTTGGTATAACAAACTATATTGACTTTGGCTTTGAGTTGCAGACAAGGTACTTTTGGGTAGTGCTAAAGGAGTATTTATTTAATACGGAGTATTTTGTATTAAAACATGAGTCCTGATTTGGTTTACATTTTAACTCAAGGGTTGATGACAAAGACACATCAAATGCTATCCAAGATTCTACTTTTCAAGTTGCTGCATCTTGGCAAGCAAATAAAAACTTCCTGCTCAAGGTAAGAATCTCCCTTTTTCTCGCGCCTTTGTTGTATCTTGATATTGATTCATTAGGTGGGTAAGACTGATAAAGTAATTGTTACAGGGAAAAGTTGGGCCTCTCAGCTCATCAACGGTTTTAGCATTTAAATCATGGTGGAAACCTTCTTTCACTTTCAGCATATCAGGTGTGTAACTGTGTATAATAGCAAATGGAATATCTTGTACCATTTTTTTAAGGGCAAAAGATCTTAGAATGAGGTCTCCATACTGTTTGAGTACATAGAGAATTGCAAATTTTGAATTAAAAAAATCTCTCTGAGTATTCCTTCTGCTATCTGGGCAGCTAACAGAGATCACACAAAAGGACAAACATCCTTGGGATTTGGCATTTGTGTGGACAACATCAGAGAAGGAAGGTTGGTCTAGTTTTTCTTTTTTAATCTTTAAATGTTTATCTATTCATTCAGGACATGAAAGATGAAAACTAATGATTTGTTTGATCATGGATTGACAGCTTCAATTTTTTACTACCTAATTAAATAGCTTTCATCTCCCAACTCCCGAATCAATGTATGAATGGCCAAAATATTAAATCACACTTTCTAATTCTTTTCTCTGTTCTCACCATACAGCTACCAGAGGGCTGATCCCAACTTTGTAATGCTGACACCTACTAAGGAGCATCTGGCAGAAGGCATTCAATGGAAAAATGGAAAGAGGCCGGTATTGGAGTCTGACATAAAATCTGGGAACTTTGAAGACATCCCAAGAGAACTGCGACCCTTGGCGAAAATTCTCTAGTTTTATCTCTCAATTCAATCTTTTACCCAAATATTGACTTTCTTGAAGTTTGTTGCAGTTTAGCAGTGGTGCCTTTGATTTGATTGTTAGAGCATAATCTGAGAGAATTACATGGGACAACTGAACTAGCTGATTAATGAACAAGTTGCTAGAATGGAATATCAAGATGAAGTCAACACATGTCATGACTTTATCCTTCAACTTTTTTCTCATTAGTGAGCAATTTCACTTGCTTACTACGGAGTAATTTTTGTTATTGGCATAATCTGCCCATTAATTGTAGTTGTAGTTTATAAAAGACCACGACTTTGGTTCAGTGAAGAGGCCTTCGATTCAAAGCTACCCTTGTGTTTTGATATATGTCGGGTACGGCATTGTGTTGAGGAAACAAGCTACGGAAACGGAAGACAAAATGTTAAGGTAACCATCAAAACCATGCCTGGTTTTACTTTAGAAAAACCAAGATTTTTTTAAAAAGTTTTGTTACAACATTTAACATGTTATCTAATGGAAAGGAAAATTTTTACTAAAACAGTTATCAAATTGCATTCTACTCCGTAATAATCTTTATAAATACTGTGATATACGCTGTACAATGCACCTTTTCTTAATCCAGAGAAAGAATCACGCTCTTGATATACAAAGAATGTTTTTTAATCTTCGTTTCTCTTATATTCTTCTCCATATTACTTACGATCAGTTACCACATCAAAATTTCAATATTCCTGTGAAATAATATCAATCAGTATTGTTTATATTTCTCAAGTAACATAACTATACAACCTCTTAGTTATAGGTAGTAAAAGAAATAGATGGGAAAGGATCCAATTACCAACAATATACTCCGTATATGCATATTACTTTCAAACTATACAATATACAAATGAAGTAATGACACGTTATATATTTATCGGCCCTTTGGCTCATTGCACTATATAAAAGAAAGAAGTAAACTGTTTGACTTGACAAATGACTCTACAATCTATATAAAAAAATTCTACAAAACAAGACGTGACTAAGCTATTTTGTTTTATAAACAATAATGAAAATGTATAAGGAAAGAATATGCAGTTTGACCTTGCGAATAGCCTTCACGAATACCTCTGTTGAAGAGTTTACATAGTCTCAGTGCTCAACCCCAAGCTTCTCGGACCTCCCCTGGCGATCCAAGTATTGAACAAGATCATGAGGCATGGGTCGGAAGATGGACTGGAAAACCCGGTATGTAAAATATGGCAAGAGGGTAGAAATGACAACAAGAAGGGTGAGTAGCCAATACAAAGGACTTGGAGCGCAAGCTTCCACAAAAACCCGGTAGGCAGTTGTGGATATGTTGGTTGGCAGAGAGCCATAAGCGACCAAAAACAAGTACCAGACGGCGATGCTTCCCCATATGAAGATGTGTTGGATCCAGGTGAAGTAGTTGATACAGAGTGCCATTTGGCAATTGACTGTCCACACCACACAAGAGTACATCATCACTCCTATGACTTCGTAGTCCACGGGTTGACCATCTTGCCGAAATGCTTGGTGTAAGATGGAGCTGGTTGTTAGGTAGAAGATGATCGTGGCGCAAAGAACTCCATTCAACATCCACCCGAGGATTCGGTACCACTTGAAGAGCATATTCTGGCTCCCCTCCTTGTAGACCATAGGATGCTGTGGAGGAAAAGGGGATGAAATTGTTGAGGACCAACTATGATTGTGTACACATGAACAATGGACTATATACAATATATTATAAGAATGACAAATGCTAGAGTTCAAACTTGTTATTAGCAATGGCGGGGGGGGGGGGGGGGGGGGGGGNGACAGAGCTGATCAGAGAGATCCTGATCAAAAACACCGATAGCAATCACAGGGAGTGAAGTGAAGAATACATTATAGAGTGACATGTACCAATCATTATAAGCAGCCCGCCCAGAGAAAGAAGCGAAAGCCTCAAACCAGAAAAGGGTAAACCCAAATGTGAGGTTCTTGTAAAAGAAGTAGCATATCTGCACCCACCAAGAGATAAAAAAAGAAGACAAAAGAATAAAATAAGCTGTTCGAGAGTCTGTTTGGATAACTTATGGTAAAAGTGCTTTTTCACATAAACACACTGTTTTTCGAAACACCAATATGCTGCTTTTTTGAATAAGCACTAAAGGCACCTAAAAAAAGATTTAAAAACACTTTTCTTTATTTTTTATAGAAAACACTTCTTTTTGGAGTCGAAACATTTTACTTCCTTTAAAAAAATACTTGTTTACTTCAAAATAACTAAATAAGTCATCACCAACACACTTCAATCGTGTGTGAAGTATCAATGCACTTTATGTAATATGTTGACTAGCCTTATCGCTTGTTCGCTTATGTGAAATCATCAACACAATTTTGGAAGCAACTTGAAATTCGTGAAGATATTTTTTTTCATTGATTAGAAGAAGAGTACAAACAAGAGAGTTTACCATCATTGATATTCTGCGGTAACACCAATGACCATGAACCAACAACAGCCGTTCTAGAAAACGGAACTGCGCTATTGCATAGTCACTTGCCATGACAGCCTAAGAAGCAGAAAAAAAAAATCATCAGTTCAACTATTACAAAACCTATACGAAGAAGAAAATAGAGCAGTAGACAAAGACCTGCATCCCCTCAACCCCACTTATGCCCACCCCAACATCAGCTTCTTGAAGCATGCTGACATCATTTGCCCCATCACCAATCGCCAGTGTCCTCCCACCTGTTCCTTTCACCAACGCTGTTACCTGCATATCTTAAAACAGTTTTGGTAAGTTTATTTAGATTCATTGCAAGACTAAAACTGGAAAAGATAGAGATAATGCTTCTCAGGAGAGAGAAAAATGAGTGCACCACTCACAAGAGCTTTCTGTTTAGGCGTAGAGCGACAGCATATAACAGATCCACATTTCAAAGCGAGGTCCAAAAATGGCTTCCTCATGCACTCTTCGAGAGCATAAGAGAGTGCATTTCCATCGATAATCAAACCAACCGACTCTGGACTTGATTCAGTTTGAGTCATTCCATCATTTACTTGTGCTGTTACCCTTCTTAAAGCCTATGAAGGTAGAGAATTGTGAAGATGGAAGTGGAGGATTGACATGAAAACAAATCCAAGATATATACCTCATCATCCTTTTCTCCTTGACTTTCCAAGCTACTTATTTGCAGAGAATCCAGACTAATTATAATTAGCTTCATGCCTGGTCTCAATAAACTACAAGCATACCTGCAGGAATTTCAGAATAATGAATTAATATTGAATAGTGTAATGTTTTAGATATAAAGAGTAGTATGCGCAAATGAATACCCAATATTGATTGCTGTCTCCATCTTATCACCAGTTAAGACCCATATCTTAATCCCAGCAACCGTCAGCTTGTTAATGCATTCAGGAACCTACACCAGAAGAACAATCAAGTATGTACTTGCGATCATTGAAGGATGGAAAAGGTACATACTCTGGCTCTCCTTATATTTAAGAAGTATTCTGTAATTAAGAATGACAAAGTAGGAAATTTGGTTATAACCCCTTTTTGAAGTTTATCCTCGACAGCTGTGGCTCCAAGAAGAATGAAGTCCCATTCAATTTTATCAGCAGCAGCATCCACTAAAGCTTCTCTATCATATGAAGATACCTGAGCACTTAATAACTCTTTTTCCCATGATTTGAACTCTTCTTCACCAAGCTCACGGTATGCTATAACTAATGTTCGCAGTCCTGCATTCGCGAACTGTTCAATATGTTCCCTAGTTTTTCCCTCAAAAAACCGTCCGTTTTTCGAAAGCTTTTTAAACATCACGCTGAAATTTAAATGGGACAAATAAACACAGGAATTGTGTCACATGGTAGCAAAATGCAAACTAAGAAGAAAAAAAGGTTAATTCAGAAGCACGCTGTGAATAGCCAGTGAAATAGAAAACCTGTCTGCACCCTTGCACAAGAGTAACAATTTGTTTTCAGGAGTTCTAACAATCACAGACATTCTCTTCCTTGCAGGATTGAACTCCAAGAGGTGAAGGAGCTGGTACGATCTGAAGATGAAGTGGTTCATAGCAGACGGTTAAAATGACAAAGCAGAACATAAATACATCCAAGAAAGTAGATGTGAGGTCTATAATATGGTAAAGTAGGCCATGAAAATAAAGTTCTAATTTTTCTGGTTTCTATGGGAGTATCAGCTGTTTAGGCTTAACCTTTTTTTAGACATTGTGTAGGATAAAATTATGATTGTCAAGGTTCTATAATAGTCTCCGTCCCACAGAAAGCAGAAAAAATATCTGGTTATACTAGCCAGGGACTGTCTTCTGTTTATCATGCCACACTTTCAGAACTGTGACAAATCCTTCCCATACCAAACAGAATGTGGTATCTATTCCCATTAACATCTATCCTTTGATGTAGTTAAAAAGAGGAAGGGGACAAGGAGATGATGATGACGACAAATTGAACTCCGGGTTTAAATTCATATAAAAACAAACTTGCCAAAAACAACCTGTCAATCCGTTTGGAACCTTCTTGATCCCATTCATGCAACCAAATACTAGTTTGTGTTCTTCCAGAGAACTCAAATCCGAGCTCTTTAGCTGCGACAACAAAAGCAGCTTCATCGGGTGACTCTGCCTCATAAGATACCTGACCTGGTGTTTTCACATCAGAGATGACAGTGTGGCAAATAGCCAACGCATTAAAAAATTTATGTATCACGTCTGCATGAGGTTCTTTAGCCCATCGACCATTCATTAGGCGCTCATCTTGAAAATTAAAGCCTTTTATTGATTTGGCTGTGGTGAAGTTATGAGAGTTTGGCACTTGTGGATCAATATAAGTATTAAGCTTTTCAGGACGCTCATTCCCTTTTCTCCTTGCCATGGCTCTCTCCACTTCTGTCACAACTCGGCCATAAGAAACTCCTGCTATTGAACATTTAACAAACTCCATAGAGTTGCATGTTAAAGTGCCGGTTTTGTCAGAGAGTATCGTTTCAACCTGTCCAAGTTCTTCATTCAAATTAGAGGTTCGTGCATGCGCAGGCTTATTCATCTCCCTGTAATACATTTCCTGATCTTGGTTGATGAAGATGCTCTGTAAAACCTTTACAATTTCAATAGAAACATATAGTGAAATTGGAATTAAATATCCATACAACATAAGGGCTGTCAGGAAGTGAAGAAACGCAGCAAGTGAAGCTCTTTTCGGATCATACAACACATTAGCTTTGTCTGGTTCTAGATACCACCTCTTGAACCCCCCATTGTCAAGGTCTCTCTTAGTCCACAGTCCAAAAAAGATGGACCCGAAAGAAGCTATCATAATCAAAGTACCAAAGAGGACATAGATTATTTTGTCCATTCTTTTCTCAATTGCACTCCTCTTAGAAGGAGGGTCCCTGGCATTTTGCATGACTTTTGTGTCATGACCAGTGAAAACAACCACTCCATAGATGTAATCGGTATTCCGTAATTTAGAACCTCTGAGAAGCAACTGATGCACTGAAAGTGGTCGTGGTTGCTGATCATCATAATAGAGAGTGCCAACAAATGAATAAAGGTCATCATTAGGGTCCTCACACTGGATCTTTGCCTTAAATTTCTGAAAGTCGTGAACAGAAGCTGTTTCACTCAGAGCATGTTTCACCTTCAGATTGGTCTCTCCATCAAGATTTGCAGTTTCAACATAGCAAATCCCATCTTCATAGTTCGATGAAAGCAAAATAAGATCAGCTGGGAAATATTCACCTTTCTTAACCTTAACAAGCTGACCAACTTGTATCTTCTTCCACATAGTTTCTTCAAACCCGTGGTTACTCGTACAAACTAAAACCTTCCTGCTGTTAGCTTCGACATCCTGAAGGTAAAGTTAGGGACAGAAGGAGAAATAAATAGCATATCAAATAATTTGTTCATAAACATTATAAAGACACTCAGTGCCACCAATGCTGCCTGCTGGAATACAAAACTGACAAAAAAAAACTATAACAAGCAAAAAGGACGTCGTGCAATATATATAACCTTGAAAATTACGTAGGGTTCATATATGATTGCAAGTTAAAGCATGACAGATGATCATTTGAATTGCGAGAATGTGATGCTAATGGATTGTTGTATATTTCTTCTACCATCTTTTTCCCATAAAACTACATGCCCAAGAATGCTAGGTTCTACATTTACCCATCTCCTATCCGGATAGTTGCAATGTCATTCTTTTCTTTAACATGATAGTACTACTTATATGTGTGTGTGACGAAGCCTAAACTTACACCCAATGCATCTCCCACTTGGATTGTTTCCATGCACAACCCATTGTAGGATTGAAAGTTACTAACACATAGATTGTCCTCATAAAATTTCACAATGATCCGACATAGTTTCGTAATTCATTTAATAAATCAAAATCAACTTAATATAATGTGCTAAAAAGTATAAAATAAAAGATTATGATTTAGTATGCTATGAAACACACAAAAAATTCATTTTGATACCTGTCGTCTGCGTTTCCAGTCCTCTACACCTTCTTTGGCCATTGTTGCACCAATAACGACTATCAAGGGAAACAGAACACTACTAGCCGTATATGGGGCTAGAGGACTGAATGAGACAAAAGCCACTACAAGAAAGTATATATTTGCGACCCTCCTGAATTGCTCAAACAAGGACTTGGGGATAAAATTAACTGCTGTATACTTGGTGGTCTGGACATAATTATCCTTGTGGTTAGTTCTTTCAGGGTTATCTGGATCATTACAATGAACAACCCACGAGTAACCCTTCTTCCCAATTCGGCGATGTTCATCTCTAGATGGACTAGGAAGGCACGAAAATGTATACGGAAAACACCACATTTTCCCACCATCTGTCATCTTTTCCCAATTGTATTCCCTTCAAAATAGGACTAATTTGATTCAAATGGGCAAGAGACAAATTCTCAGCAAGCTCCCTTGAGAAGCAAAAAGTTTTAAAAATTTTACATCGAGTACACGAACTTGTCCATCCTAAACACAGACGTAACTAAGAAACAAATGTCAGATGATTTCACTGGTATAGAACAGTGGCCATCATATGACCTGAGAATTGAGAGATACATACATAAACTGAGCAAGAAATCCTATTTTTTTCAGTAGATTGCGGTGTCAATAGCCCCTAAAAACCATAGGAATTGCATTCCCAGCACAAATCCTTAGATTGCTCTCAAGTAGTTCCAAACGATACTTTCCTTCATCAAGGGTCCGTACAAAAACATGAACTTTACGCCTCTGCATATACAAATCCCCCGGCCGCCCAACTTTTCAGATTCTGAGCTGAAAGAAATCCCATATTTGTTTTTAGCAAAAAGATATGAATGGAGATACTAAAATTCTGGGACTGGGTTTTCCTGCAAAGCCGCAATTTCTTACGTGGGTCTCAAGTAGTCCCAAGAGAAACCATGGGAATCTAGGCCAGCCCAGAAGCAGGCCTCAGCATATAAGAAAGAGAGTTGGATGAAGCATTTCAGCAAACGTGTAGTGTGCATGACAGCGAAGAAGAGAAGAGAAGAGAAGAGTAGAGTGTAAGAGAATGGGATTGAATGGATAAAATCAAAATCAAATGTGATGAAAAAGAAATAAAGAAAGAGGGCGTCGTTAGAAGTCGGAAGAGTAGTTGGCCAACCAACAAGGCTCTTGTCTTCTGTTGCATTCATTTGCTCTTTTTTTAGCATTTTCCTTTTAGCAAAGCATAAAATAATACTCCGTAATAAAAAACTAGTGTTAAAACTTAAAAACACTACTTTCTAAATTACCCCGGAGTATTAAAATTTTAAAAATATAATTTTATTTTTTTCCAATAGTGACATAATATGTGTTATATGAATATTTTTTTAACATAATGTGTTATATGTTTATAGAATCGTTAAAAATGAAAATTTTGTATACAAAATATAATTAAAGTAATAATTTTTAATACTAAAAAAATAATATTCATTTAATACAATAAAATGTATTAAAAGATCTTTTAAAAATGGACCAATAAAATATTTCCACCTCATTCATGGGTGCACATGTAGATGCATATAGAGCATGCGACATGTCAACATCACAACAATTTTAACTCGTGTCACACACGGGGTGACGGGGTGAAACGATTTTTTTTATTTTACAATTTTTGTTCGCTACATCATTTTTCAAATATCGAACAAAATAAAACATTGACGTTAAATGTTAAAATAATGATAAGACATATAACATTTGCTAATAAGTACGGAGTAAATTTCTACAATATACATTTCAAATTTAAATGTCAAAGTCTTTTTAAAAATTAATTATTTTGAAAAATTTTGAGATATACACCATTTTAAATGTCAAAGATATTAAAAACTAATACTTTGAACTCTACTTTTTAGTCTTACTCACAAAATAATAATATAAAATTTATTATAAGTGAATACCGAGTTGGTAAAAAATAATCTTATGAATGATCATGTTTAGCTTTCACTTTATTTATAATCATAAAGAAACAAACTATTGAAAATTATATTCTTTGAAACTTCAAAGCAAATCTTATATGAAACGATACATAATTCATTTAATTTAAGTTATGTAAACGTTATCTACGACTTTGTTTCCTAATTTTATAATTGTGCAAAAGATAATTTTTCACAACTCTTTAATGATCTTATACTACTCCGTATTATACAATGTAGATTATTGATCAATGTTCATCAGTAACATAATAGATATAACTTTTCTTCAAATTAAAATTATGTTGTGGTATAAGATTTACGGACATTTATTTAAATTCATAAACTCAACTATTATACAATCGTCGTTGATGGACAAACTATGTGATCTCCCCAAATACCCCAATATTAGGCTAGATTATTGAAAAAAATGATTCATCTTTTAGAATTAATATGATTCTATTCTCTTGTATTTATTTTAAAAAATATGACTATTTTTCTTGGATTAATTGGAAAAAAAATGATCCTAATATTATCCGATCTCCTTTGCATTAATTAAAAAATTAGATTGCTAAATACGAACCTTATGATTCAAAGAATATGATTCTTCTAACACACATCGCCGCATTAATTAGGAATAGTGAAATCAATAATATTATTCATCTCTCATGCGTAAATATGATTCCCCTCTCCCGCATTGATTAAAAAATATGATTCTTTTCTCCCACATAATTTAAAAATAAAAGCATGGATTAGCAATGCTATGATTCCAAAATAATAATTTTAAAAACATTAAAAGTCCAACGATTGCACTTCCCTACATTAGATCAAGAAAATCAATATAAAAAATATCAGTGTTTTGGTAATTCTGAATATAAATTTACAAAAATTTTGATAGTATTTTTTTCCAGTTTTTTCTTTCTGTTTGAATACAAAATTATTCAAGCACGTGAAAGTATTGGTTTCCTAATTTATTTCATTTTAATATTTGATCATTTAAAACAATAGTCTAGTCGTTTCTTATTTTATAGCATATTAATGTAAATATTAAAATATTTTTTATATTTTATTTTACATTAATATTGAAAATAAATAAAATAAAATCTAATTTTATTTAAACATGTTATAAATAAATACAAATTTATTTACGGGAACAATGTTAGAGTTCAAAGTTAGAGTTTAACGTTAGAATTTAGAGATAGAGTTTAGTCGTTTGAATCAGAGTTAGCAATTATCTGTTTGCATTAGAGAAATAGGCCCAATTTGGCATCAGTGTTAGAGATTAAAATTAACATTTTGAAAAGTCTATCAGACGGTAGCCTTTAGTGATGACATTTTTAGAGTTAATCTACATCGTTAAAATTTTATTCAAAACACTAATGCTAATCGAAAACGTTGTTCCCAATAAAGGCATTAGAAAGTACTCCCTCCGTCCCTAAATAGATTATAATCTTTTTTTTCTCTCCTCTCGATAACTTTTGTTTGTTTACGTGATTTCATTAAGTATTTGATAAAATAAAATATTCTTGTCACCTCTTGTTTTGTAGAACTTTTGACGTAGTTTTTTAATATGTAATTTTTATATCTTATTGATATACCAATTTGTAAATAAAATGATTTCAAAAAGTAGAAAATTTTACTCCGTAACCCGCAATTTGTAATCAAATTGGGGACGGAGGGAGTATATCTTTTAGGGAATGGAATTATCATTTATTCATTGATAGTTTGTGAAATTTGTTGTGAATAGAACTAAAACATAAGTCATTTCACAATGTAGGACTTTAACTTTTTTATTCTCTAAATAGGACTTAATAATGATTGGTGAGAAGAATAATGTCCAAGTGATGTTGGACATTTAGTTGAATAATGACTAATAGATAATGACCAATACATTAGAAAATAAAAATATATGGTCCTATATTGAGAAAGTCATTATGTTTTAGTCCTATTTAGGTAAATTACATAATTAAATTAACTCACTAATGTGAACAATTGTATTCTATTGCTTAACTAAGAATATCATATCATAATAGATCATGAGAAATAATATATTTTTAAATTTAAATTGTCTAGTGCTAAAATCAAACCATAAAATAACATATTCGAACTATGAAATTACGTATAGTATTTTTTTTCCTATTTTAACACAATTATAGTCTAGTCATCTCTCGTTTTATAAATAATGTTAATGTTATTTTTAAAAGATTTTGTGTGTTTTAATTTTACATCAATATTACAGTAAATAGAATATAAACTAACTTAACTATAGCATATCATCAATAAATATGGACATTGATTTAGAGGAAAGAAATGTATCTTATTTATTAATTGAAAGTTTTTTTGGTGGGGGGGTGTGTGTGTGTTCAGGTCGGGGTGGGGTGGGAGGGTTCACCAGGGGGTTAGGGGGGTTAAGAAGCATTAATTTTACAAACGGGACACCAGAGCACTTCGGGTCATATCTAATGACATTGATTCCCAATGTCATGGGAACCAAGGGGTAGTTGTAAAATATGAAGCCTTTCCATTTTAAAAAAGAGGAAGAAAGATTTATATAATGCATAAAAATGAAAAAAAAACGAGAAATAATGTATAAGGTAGAGGGTGTAGTACAATGGAGTAAGGCCTATTTTTAAGGAATTAAGTCATGGTCCATTTTTATGGGGGAGTGAATTATGAATAACTAAATGAGCACAAGTTTTTTGTAGATGCTCGACAATCAAAATTGACAACCATTTCAAACACAAAGATGAGCAAAAACAAAGGAGAAAATTTTTATCAAAACAAAAAAAGGAAAGGGGGCAAAAGAAGAGTATACGCAACGACACACTTTGTTTATGGCCCTGCACAGAAGTGAGAAACCAGATCTGAGTATATACACGTACTTTTTCAAACAGGCATGAGAGACAATGGATGCTTTCTCTACACAACTCCTGCAATGAAAAATGAATATTTAAGAGACCAATACCGAGGAGCACCAGATTGTATTTGGGGCAGGACGGAGTTTACCTTTTAGAGAACTCTGGAGCAAGTCGAAACACCTCGTACAAACAAACCACAGCAGCACGACCACAAGAATATCTAAACCACGTTACAGGTTCCAAATTCACATATCTATGAAGATAGCAAACTCATTCCTCAAATTTAGAAGAGCATTGGATCAACCTCAAAAGATGGCCAACTTAAAGAAAGAGACGGCAACAAAAAAAACAAACAAAAGCTAGTGATAATCGAGGATACTGAAGAGACATTGCTCCCACCAGTCGAGCATGTAGAGACCAAAAGTGACATTGTAGAGATAGATCTTCCGCTGAATCCAATTCATCTCCAAGCAAATGTTGTTCCCGTCTCTGAAAGCAAGTAGATTATTTCAGTTTTTTTAGCATAATTTTATTTCAAAGGTAGTTGTAAAATGTAAAGGAGAAAATATTTGGGAAGAAAAAACAAAGTTAGGTACCCTTTATCAAGCCTAAAGACGAGAGCTTATGGTTATCTTCAACAATTTATCTATCATCATGTAGTATCTCATAGTTAGGAGTAGTTAAAGGATCCTAATATTTCTCCTCCTGCTCCTTTCTATTATCAAATGCTATGCATTTTAAATGGTATCAAAGTCGCTATCTTCGAATTCAAGCGAATATTAATACATCCAATTCGCTTTCGAATCATACTATTTATGTCAAGTTTGAATTATTATTCAAATATATCTGCGAACACTCAAATATTTGAATTCAATTTTTTTAAAACAACCACGCTTAACAAGTGTGGACTAGAATGATCAAATAGAGATTAAAAAAACTAACAGGCAGATGAAATTTTTTGAAGCTTCACTGTTTTCTAAATGCGCAATTCACCACCAGCAGACCTGCAAGATTGACCAAGAAAAATCGACGCTTGAGTTTCAGACCCAATCCATAACCTGAATTTCAGACCTAAGCCATGCCTTCCAACAATATCTGAAATACCTGAAAATGGATCGGAGACTGGAGAGAGAAAGCGAGGTTGACAATGTGGGGCTCGGTTTCGAAGTACGATTGCAAATGGAAAGCAAAGACTCAGAGGCGATTGAAGATGGGAAGCGAAGAGCGAGCTCGAAGGAGAGGAAGATGGAGACAGACCTGCGGCCGATCTTAATGACCAGACCAGAGAATGGGATAGTGTTAATTTCATATGGAAAGATCTACACCGTTTGTTTTTTATCTAATGCATATAAATGATGCGTCCCAAGCATCTCCTTTTATAAATTGAACTCATACTTTCTTTGGAATTTCAGAGTTAAATGTTGGAACACATTGGAAGGAGTTAGAAAAACTAGAAAAAGTTAAATGTTAGAAAGTCACTCAATTAAATGATCACCCAAATAAATATATAGGAAAGCTATAATTTTGGATGATAAGTTATAAATTTGGAAAAGGTTGAAACTCTGAAACAGATTAACACTACCAACATCACTGTTATACCAAAAAAGGAGAACCCAAAGAGGCCTACTGATCTGAGATCTATAGCATATGCTGCAATGTGCTATATAAAATCATTGCCAAAATCATATGTGGGAGATTGAAGAGAATATTGCCAAGCTTGATCAATTTAAATCAAGGAGCTTTTGTTGAAGGAAGGGAATTGGTTCACAATGTTTTATCGTGTCAAGAAAAACGAAAAAAAACAGCACATCAATAATTAGCAAAGAAAAAAAAAGTAAAAAATGTACCTGAAATCCGCCGGAGGAGAGGAGGGAGTCGTCAAAGTTGGAGTTGCTGGATGGGGGGAGAACAATCAAAGCTTGGTGAACTCCTAATCTGCAGATCTCAAAAAATGAAAAAAAAAAAGTGAACAAAGAAGAAAGAAGATGCGGCTGCTGGGAAGCGCTTGGATCGTCTACGATCAGCAAATGTGAGAGGAAGAACACGCCGTGCGTCCCTGGACCGTCGAAGAGAGAAAAAAAATTACGGAGTAGAATGAGAAGGGCAGAGCGGAAGAATTACTCCGTAAGTTTTTACAGCGCCCAGTTGTATAATTCACCTCCTCTTAACTATCTCAATATTTTTTCCCAAAGAAGTAACTTCTAAACTTAACATTACCCTACCTCCACCCACCTCAAATCAAACATAGGTTAATGTTGCGTTCCGTTGGTTTGATGTGATCTGATCCGATTTTTTAAAGTTCTAATCTGATCTGGTATGATCTGATTGGATCTGATCTGATAAAAATTTATTGTGCACATCATCATTTAATATTTTTACCGTGCATCGTACGAGTTAGAATCTAATACAATAAAAAGGGGCGGGTGGATAGGTCGTCGGAACTATGTCCCACCGAGTTGTATGTTGGAGCCGGTTCCACGTACCAAGCTCCACAAAAAAAAACACAAAAAATTGAAGGTTCACCATCTCCAATGTCTTATGGATGCCTCAATTTTCTTTCTATAGTACTCTTTCCGTCCCAATGTATTCGTCTAGTTTAAATTTTTCAAATCAAACTGGAAAAGTTTTAATCATCAATTACTCTTAATTTATACTACGTATTGCTTATTAATAGAGTAAATTAAAATTTCAAAAGTTCAAAACAAGATAAATCTAATGAAATAATTTTTATAGTAAAAATACATAACCATTTTTATTTAATTGAAGTGCAAATTTTGTCCGACAGAAGTCGTACTCCATATTTATTTATGACAAAGATTATGTTTGAAAAATGGTATATACACTTTAGGGAGTAGACATGAATAAGATTTGATAACACACTTTTAGATTTGGTATACTACTACCCGTTTCAATAACGAGTTCAAGCTCATTAAGGCCCCGTTTGGTACATGGAATTCAAATTATGGAATTAAAATTGGAGACTTCAATTCCAATTCTTGTGTTTGGAAGCACAAATATTATGTGGATTTGGAATTGATGGTGCAAAAAATGAATTAAAATTGGTGAATTCAATTCTACGGAATTGAATCCCATAGAATTTCAATTCCAATTCCATCAATTCCGTATACCAAACGGACCCTAAATAAAAAAAATAAACCAACACCCTCTAAAAACCACTCTCTTCACTAAACAAAATTAATCGTTGAATAATGATGTAGGGGCTTGAAATAGACATGGCGTACATATGATGAAAAACGTCCCAAAAGCACTTGAACCAATACGCATGGTCTGAAGAAAGAGTGTGGTGAAGGTGTAAATTCGCAGAACGTAAGTCTGACTTAACCCTCCCATTCTTTATTGAAATTTCTACATATGTACCATTTTGCTATATATAATGATGATGATAATAGCAGCAACAACATTGCATGCCTTGCCTTAAAATGCAATGGCTATTTAAAATAGGAGAAATCAATAATATGGTCGAACTTTATTGTAGGCACAGCCATGTGTATACATTTACTATGTAGTCTGTACATAAATGATATTAATTACAGAGTGGGAGGGATCCAAATATAACCATGTGTTTGGGCATAGCCTACCCTTTTGAGCAAATCATCTGCTTCTGCAGGGCCACGGCTGCCTGACTGGTACGCTCTCGGCTTCAGCTCTCCCTTATCTATCCTCTGCAGTATCGGAGTGAATATCTCCCATGCCACCTGTACACCCAGCCCCCACCGTTATTATACTATGCTCACACCCACCATAGCCATTCATTAATAATATATATTCATCTCTGCGAGAATACACGTTCCTCCTACGTTGCTAACATGTTTGATAGTACTAATGTACGGAGTATATGGTCTACCTTCAGCTCATCTCTGCGAACAAAATGCTGCTGATCCCCCTTTATTCTGTATGTGATGTGCCCCCATCCCCAAATTTTAAAAAAAATGAGTAGGTTAAGAAAAGTTTAAGGTGGTAAGAAGAAAAAAAAAAGGAATAGCATAATTATAGAGGGATGAGAATGGTACGCGTCAAGTATAAGGCGCTCATAAGCCTCTGGAATGGTAACCCCTTGATAACGTTGCCGGTAAGACAGGTCAAGTTCACTCTGTACCGTTGACAGTTCCAGTCCAGGTTTCTTCACCTGCAAAAAAGGGTATTGCCACATTCTCAGCACATCCAATTAAGTGTCTTTTTTTCTTTTTACCGATCCCAATACTGTGTACATATATAATAGTAACACTTTTATGTTCTGTTTTACTTGGCAACATTATTAGCTTGTGGAAACAATGGCTTACCGTGAGTTTCATGTACATTGCTTCTGAAGGCTGAAGACGTATAACAAATTCATTCCTTCCTTGTTTTTGACCTGATAACGTGTTTTTTACAACACACTCAAAACTTTATTCTTTGCAACATTAACAAATAATAACCCACGGTAGTCATGAATCACTGACTCCAAGTCCAAACCACCCAAAAATATCTATGTTCGAGATTTAAGAGCTAACAGTTGATTTTATATCTTTTATGCACTTAGTTTTGTCTTTTTTAAAATTTTAATGCAATTAGTTTATTGTTGTTTTTAAAGAATATTTAGGGAAATATGGCAGTAAGTATTTGGATATGTAAACGGTATTTCACCCCACCCCTAGCATTCATTGTTTTTAGATTGATTGGCACTCTGGCAGGAAACTTGAGACCCCTCAAATTTCATAACTGATTTCAAATTAATAGATGGCACACACCAAAAAAATGTACACAGTGTTACGTTTATAGAAGAAGACTGAACATCTTTTTATCATCGCTATGTTCGCTTTGGGGAATTCAGAAGGAAAGGAAAAGAAAACAGTTTCTCCTTTTCCTCACCAAAATGGAAGGAAAATTGTTTTCCCTCTTCTTAGTTTATTTTCTCTCCTCATTTTTTTCCTTCCACTTCTCTTTTCTTTTCCTCTCTAACCAAACAAGAAAAATTATTTTCCATATCCTTTTCTTTTCTCATTCAAATTCCTTGAACCAAACATAATGCAAAAGAGGTGGAATTTTAATTCTGATACTTACATTTGTATATATCACCAGGAACTTCCTTAAATTGGATACGTATTTCTGCCTTTCTAGAATTCAGTGCTTTTCCTGCCTTCAGTATAAATGGCACACCTGCAGCAAGTCAATCATGTCATGAACTCATGATATTGAGTTACTAACAACAAATGGGCCTTAGGGTTCCATTTGGAACCCAATAAGGCTGTGGAAAGAACATGTGCCGGAAAATAAAAAAGGATTCGAACTCGATAAATCAATATTAGACATTTGTTCAAACTCATTCTTTTCATACTAACTCCATCCCTAACAGAAGTTCTAGTTTGCTTTTCCAGAGTTTAAGAAAAAGTGAATTGTATGGTGAAAGTTTATGTAGAGAAGAGAGAAATAAAGTGAACCGCTCATTTCTTACCCTAAATGGAATGAGAACTTCTTTCTGAGAAAGCTAAGAAATTTAAATATATATGTGTGTGTGTGTGTGTAAAATATTAATAAAATTTAATTTTTCTTCATAATTTAATAGACAAAACCAAACACTAAAAATTCTTTTTCCTTTAGCATTTTTCTCCTTTCCCTACAATTTTAAAAGTTCCAAATATAGACCATCTCTTTCAGACAAATATTTGAACCATTTCCTAAAGAGCACACAGGATGTTTATATAAAAAACCAACACGGGTATTATCTCGGATTCCCACCTTCCCATCTTTCATTGTGAACACGCAGAACCATTGTAGCAAATGTTGGAGTGTATGAATTCTTATTAAGAACTGTTGGATCATCTCTATAGCCCTCATATTGTCCAAGAACAACCTCTTCGTCTTTTATAGGATTCACTAATTGAAGCACCTGAATTCCGTGATAAATAAATCAAACGGGATTGATATATCATGCATTGCAAGAAGCATGCATACATATACGTTGTGAGAGTGTCCACAAAGTTTTTCACTCATCAAAATCAAGTGTTTTACATTTCCCAATTGTCATACGAAGTATTTATCAGCAGAAGGGAAGAAGATCCTTAAGAAAAATAACTGTAACAAAATGTTGTTCTTCACAATTGATATGGCAAACTCTTCACTAAGTTGGAACGCTCTTACATAACAACCCATTATCCAGGTCTGGCGATTCACGATAGAGCCACAGTTCTTCTGACCAAAAAGGAACAATTACAATACTAAAATTCTAAAGGCATATAAAGAGCAAACCTTCACTTTCTCATCTCGGATATGCTCAGGTTTTAGCGAAATTGGCTTCTCCATGGCAACAAGGCAGAAAATCTGTATTGCAAACAAAAATGACAGTTCAAAAATAAAAAATTAATACTCTAAAATGATACCTTTTGAAGGAACTCTAATCCAAAGATGTAAATAGTACTCCATAACAATATCATGAGATTGCAGAAGAGAGTAAGGAAGATTGGGGGAGATATGAGGGTAAAAAAAGGGACCAACATAATGCAAACACTTTCTGCAAAACACTAGAAAAAACATCATTATTGAAATCATTCAGAAACAGATGTAGAACTTTGGATCATATTTTTAATTAATTTAGAATGCGATGAGATTATAACAGATTACCTGCAAAAGGTGGTTTTGAATAATGTCGCGTATAATCCTGCAAACATTTTGTCTGGTAAGACATAATGAAATGTAATTTACACAAAATATATCTGATCATTACATTACATCTTTCCAAACTACACCTAGATTCAGTAGGCGAAATGCTTAGCCTCTCTCTTTTATATCCTTCCATTATTGCAAAGTGTGTGAAGCGTAAATTATATTTCACGAACTTATGTAATTAACGCATTTTCCCATCAAGAAAACTAGCACTACACCGAATAAATTTTAGTTCTTTTATTGACATATGAGGTTGCAGAAATATATGGATAGGTATACTCAGTGGAGTCCCACAAGTGGGGTTTGGACGGGTGAGTGTATGTAGACTTTACCCATATTTATAAAGGTAGAGTGGCTAGTTTCAACAGACTCCGGGCTCAAAAAGAAAACATATTAGCACTATACCACAAGAAGTAAATGTCTAACAGATATCAAAGAAACAGATGATCCAAATCTATCTACCAAAAAAAGCCCCACCTCAGTCACTCACTACACCTAGCAACTTCCAAAAACACATGTTGTCTATAGAAAGACGCACGAAAACCCAACAACCCTACAAATTTAATCGTGGCCCTCTAAACTATCATATCTATATGACCCGGTCAGTTGCAGAAACCTCGTTTAAGTCCAAAATACTATATCCTCAAGAGCCATAAACAAGGAGAACCATCCAAATTAAAACATCAGAGGATGTAAAATTGGGTAGACATGATGGTCTCCAGAAAGAGTACCCATATTCATCAAAATATCCACCACGGCCTTCAGTACCAAAGTCTTCTTTAAATACAATCTGGATGCAAACAAGTGATATACAGATAAGGGAACACGGATAACAACACCCTTATGTACTTACTATTTACATAGGTGGAAGACGTGAAACATGTGAATATGGAAGCGTAAAACAATCTAATTTAAGAACATATTCCATCTTCTAAGACATCATCAGCATTTCAGCAGCACCTTAATCCAACCTATATTCGGGGATGGTGGCATTCTATTTTGTGTCAATAAGTTGTATTAGATTATTTAACACTATATATTCATGTAAAAAAACACCCAAAAGAAGTAGTCGAATATTTGTATTTCCGCAAGACCTTTATCTACATAGAAATATGAGAATATAATCTGTTTCCAAACCACGTATCTGACAGACTTAAAGAGTATAACAATGAAAAAACATGTACTCTCGCAATTTGCTTTCTTGTGGGCACATTATAGATTTTATTCTTCCATATTGAAAGGAGAAAGAGAACCTATGTAGCCCATATAATTCTAGTATTATGGTTAAGAAAGTGTTATGTCAAGTCAATTATAGTTAGCAAAATTCTTCATAAAGTTTCTCTCTTTTGTTTTGTTTTTGGCCCATGCATATAATATAATCTAACATAACTAGATAAATGAATCTCTTCCAAATCCCCACTAGTTTAATACAGAGTGCAGTACAGCATAAGCATGTGTGAAAACCAACCTGTATGTTATCAATGTTGTCACGATTCCAAAGAGGCAAAAAGAAGCGATTTGCAAAGCGAAGCACGAGCTGCATGGAGGCAATTAATTTATAAAATCATAAATCTAAGAAAAAATTGATTACTTAGATAGGGAAAGACAAAGAATATAATTTCTAGAAAGAATACCAAGTTCTGAACCAACTCCTTCCCCAAGTAGTGGTCAATACGATAAATTTGTGGTTCGTCAAATAATTCGCCCATCTGGGCACTGAGTTTCTCAGCTGTGGCCGAATCCCTCCCAAATGGCTTCTCAACTATGATGCGTGTCCATCCACCATGATCAGCTGTAAAAGTACACATGAAGAAATTGATCAAATAGCAAGAGTATAATGAATAATATAAGCCTTTTTATATACTCAATTGCTTTGAATGAACAACATAGATGAAAAAAGAACATCTACCACATACTAACAGAATTTTCTTTGGTTCAGACATGGCTCCTTTGTGAAGCCCAAGGGCTTATGTTGCAATATCATCACCACTCACTTTTATAAAAAGGCAGAATTGGAATTGTTATCCTCAATTCCAATTCCATAGTTTAAATTCCGTGTACCAAACGGAGCCTAAGTAATACTGGCTACCGCTCAAAATTGTGTAATAAGTCTGGAAAATAATACTCCCTTCATCCCTATTTAATATTCCCATTTGCTTTTTACACAGAGTTTACGAGAGGTGAAATTATGTGGTTGAAATTTGTGCAGAGGAGAGAGAATTGATGTGAACCAAACAATACTTTCTTTAAAATGGGATGGGAAGATTAATTAGGGACATCCAGAAAAGAAAAGTGTGAAGATAAAAAGGGACATAGGGAGTACTAATTTTGTATTTTTAGCGAATTTGTTGTTCTGTAAACCTTTTTCATATTAAAGTACAATTTATACGAATGTATTATCTTGTTGGCCGAATCCATTATTACGTGCTGGCCACATCACTTCACATAAGCTACCGGACTCCATAAAAGAGGTATTTTGGCCCATAAGAATATGGTGAAAAGGGAAGCATACATCTATTCATGCAATACAGCTTTATCATCCTGCAAACAGATGGATAAATAGATGGAGGGAGTGCAAGGTAGAAGAGCCTCTTGGATGATCCTTCTATACTATTCTTTGATTTTTCATGTTCACTTATTGCCTTATCTAATGACTGAAAAGCTTCAACGGAGTCATAACCGCCACATATATATTTCATCTGTGAAAGTTTACTCAGCATAAGAAAGAATTACATTGATGTTACATTGATGGGGGTGATTATGGATTGGTCATGATACTAACCAATTGCAGAAAATTTGAAACAGATTCTGGATTCTTTTTCTCCAGGGAAAGATACCTGCAATGAAATTGTAAGCGTCCATCAGTTATGAAATTCACATGCATTACGTTTAGATTCGTGATTTTTGAAAATGAAAGGAATAATAATATAATAAAAATGGTAAATCGATGAATAAGAACTCATTTGGACAATAGAGAGACATGGGGAAGTTGAGGTACTAACAAAACACTAAATAATCTATACATGTGATGCAGGTTTGGAAATTGATCAGCCACACAATATAGTAAATGTAAAAAGAGTGAAAATTGAGGACATGGTAGTACAAAACTCTCACCCGCGAATATGGTCTCTGAATTCATTAACTGTAAATTTGGTCCTTGCATGGCCAAAGATGTTAACATCGTTAGACTTCAAGAATCCCTGCAAGTAACGAAGTTTGAAAAGTACATAAGCAACAAGACATGTTCAAACTAAAGTTGCAGCCAAAAAAATCACGATCAAGTTAAAATTTAGCATGTGATGAAGTCTTCACTAAAAAGCCTGGGATAAGAGGATGAGCTGAATAGCAGGGGAAGCACCTGGCGGTAGAGGTTGAATAGTGCAGGAAAAGTCTTCTTCTTTGCAAGATCACCAGAAGCACCAAGAATAACAATGGAGAGGCACCCAGTTTCGGTTACACCTTTCGTTTCTCCTCCAGATGATTCATTGTTGACTACACCCCTTTTCTCCACACACCACTTATCAGATGCTATATCTTTCTACAGAGTTGAAGGAAAAGACAATCAAAGTAAATTAATGGTATTGGTGTTTAATCTAGCACCCAGATTGACATAGCCAAAGTCGATAACGCCAAATGAATATAAACGAAGTAGTTAGCAGTAATCAAATATGGTACTAATTTTTACCGAGAAAAGACAGGCCACATTATTAAACAGGCCAAAAAAGAGCCATGAATTTCTCTCCATCTCATAGAAAGATTCATGTTTCAGCAAGGTATGCAATATTTAAAACTCAGTAAGTACAATCATAGGAAATCATCAATTCTTAGTTTTTTCCTTAGATTCATTTAATTGTTGATGTTGATGCACTAAATTTAACATATTTAACTTCTTTGAAATACAAAGTACATTTTTTTTATCTCTTTTTGGGAAAAAAATAGGACAATAAATAACTCCTTTTTTTGTGATTGATGAACTGCTTTGTAGTTACTCCGTATTATTAAAAGTAAACAAAGTGAATGACAAAACTGTCATTGAAATACCTGTGTTCCGTGTTTCCAGATTCCCATGCCTTCTTTGGCCATTGTTGCACCGGTGCCCACCAACAATGGAAACAGAACACAAATAGCTGCATATGGGGCTAGAGGACCAAATGAGACAAGCGCCACTATAAGAATGCATATATTTGCAAAGCACCACATCTTCCCACCATCTGTCATTGTTGCCCAATAGTTTCCCTTCAAAAATAGGACTAACATGATTCAAGTGGGCAAGAGAATTTTAATGAGAGAACACTAGCATAGTCCGGAGTAGCATATGACATAGCTTATGAATCGAAGAGAAACATAAACAGGACAAGGAATCCTATGTTTTTCAGTGGATTGAGCTGTCAATATATCCAAAACCATATAAAGGACATCTCCTCAATTCCTTACGAGTATTCCCATTTTGCCGCAAAACCACGAGGTTTAAGCCTCCAAGTGTGCGAATCCTCGCCCTAGTTCTCAGTTTTGCCTTGAAGCAAACTGCGATGAAATGTGAGCTCAAATCTGGTGATGAATCCTGCTTTGCAGATACTAATGGCGTTATAGCACTGGTATTCCGGCAATTCCTGGTCCCAACTCCAAGAAATGCCTTCCTTGTTCGAGAAGCCATGGAATCTAGCTCCTAGGGCATGTACTCCGTATGAAACGCTATGGAATAAGCATTTCACCGACCATCGATCGGCCGATCGGTTCGGTAACTTTGGACTTTTGGTTACCGTTTTCGGTCCTGTAATCCACTGCATGAAGAGAATGTAACTTTACTTCGTGCTCCCACTTCTCCTTTGGCGGTTGACCCTTCATTTTTGATAAGGGTAACCATGGGTACCCCAAGTGTACACCAAGCCAACACTGATACACACAGACACAAAATGTCTATGCAGCACAAACACTTTGTGTCTGTGTGTGTCTATGTTGGCTTTGGTGTACACTTGGGGTATCCCATATTGGTGTACCCCTAACTTAATTCTTTTTTATACTCCGTATGATACTTTTGATTTTTTTTGGTAATCTCTGAAAAATATTTTTGATTCATTCTTGATTATTTTGTAAAAATTCTCACGTCTACATTATCTGAAATATACTACGAAATTCTAAAAGTTTATGAAACTATACTTTGGAGGTACATTCTGTTAATTTAATCATTGGGATTAGAAGTTTCTTAAATTTAAAAAATAATGATTATCCAGCTAAAATCTAGTACTTGTCAAAATATCACAATTTTTTAATATTAAGGACTAAATAGACAGAATGTACCTTCGCAGTACATTACCATTAATTTTAGCGATCTCATGACTATATTTTAGATAATGTATGACCTAAAAGTTATTATTATCATAAGATCAAGAATACCCAGAGCAATTTTCTAGTTTTGACCTGCTCAAATATACACAATTATGGAATATTATTTGTATGTGTACTCGGCTTCTGTTGCCAGCTAAGCACCATGGGCCCACTGCGGCGTGGGAGCCTGTATGCTTTGCCCAATCAGCGGACCCACGATTGGACACCCTGATACGCATGTCTATAAGATTGGTTGTAGTCACCCTAGTATCTGCCTGCTGTAGTCACCATAGTTTATAATCATACTGTTGGCGTCGTCAATCGAACGACTTGACCTCAGTGGGCCCGGCCTGCTAGGCTGTAGGCTAACGACTGGAAAGCCCAAATATGTATTGTTTAAATACTCCTCCCCGGGAAGAGAAAAGACATGTTCACTTTCGCTACAAAGCTAATATACTTTCTCTACTCTGGCAGCCAAAGACACTCAGTACTTGTTCGATACTCTTCTATCTAGTTTCTTAGATCTCGAGTTCTAAAACTCATCACATATATAATGTCAATTAGACTTGTGCAAACAAGGGTCGGCCCGTCCGGCCCGCCCAGCCCGCCCTTTAAAATGGGCGGATAGGGATAATCTTTAATACCCACATGGGCGGGTTGGCCCAAGCCCGAATTTTATTTGGGCGGATCTGGAAGTTACTTTTTAGCCCATCCGGGCCAATAGGCCCGCCCATATTCATTAAGTACATTTACTTTATTATTAATTACCTAGACAATATAAATTTTAAAATTTTCTTTAATTCATGTATAATAGTTCATATCATTTACCCCTCTTAAACAAAAATCAATAGTCTTTTAATTAATTTGTATGATGGGTTTATTAATTATGTAACAATATTTCTATTATGTTTTTCATGTAAATGTGGCGAGTGGTAGTTTTATTTTAAACATTTGAAAACGAGTTCAATATTTTCTTTTTGATTTTTTTGTGTAAAAAAGATTTTCTTGATGTTTTATCCGGGCCGGGCGGCCCGGTGGGCAGTTCGGCCCGCTAAGGTGGGCGGGTATGGGTAAAGAGTTTAGCCCATCAAATCCGGGCCGGGCCAAGCCCACCCATGCAAATGGGCTAATAATTTGTATCAAGCCCGGCCCAGATCCGGCCCGGATCCTTATTTGCACAGGTCTAATGTCAATCATATTAATACATAATAGTAAAAAATAATGTGAAATCTCTCTATATATTGACACATTATCACATGTCAAATTTCTATTTTGGAAATATAGACATGAAGTTTCTATTTTAGTTCTTTTTCGGCCTTGTTTGAAAATACTCATAATATTTTTTATTAGTGTTGGTGTTTCGGATAAAAATTTAATAATGTAGATTAATTATAAAATTTTTAACACTAAAGTCTAACTAACAGTGATGCTAAACTTGGAGCACCTCCTAAAATTGGATTTGTGTTTTTGGAGGGATTTAGCAAATACGGAGTCTGCTATTCTCTTTTTTCTTGTTTCCATCTGCTGGAAATCACCCGACCGAAGAAGCGTTACTGACTGCTCTGATCGGAATGGATTCCTCCTACGCTTCTTTATGGGAGAAAACTCGAATTCCTCAACCATCGTTTCAGAAGCTAGCCGTGATTTCAATCTTCGAGAAACTCCGATCCGCTCCGCCGCACCTCGGCCCCGACTCCCTCCCTGGAACGGAAGCCATCACTCAGTGCCTCCACTCCGCCTCTCCCGCCGTCCTTGACCAGTCGGTCCGCGAGCTATGCCGACTCGTCAGGGACTCCAAGCTGGACCTCTCTCGAGGGTTACTAGAGCTCCAGTCTGCCCTCGAAGCCACTGCTTCTCGCTTCGTCAGTCTCTTCGTCAAAGGTTTGGGATTTCTTGTCCTGTTAGGTTTTCGGAACAATTCTCATTCATTTCATTTCAATGCGCCAGAGACGCATCCGTTTGTCATGGTACGCCATAGCTGTGATCTTACCAATTGCCATTTATAGGTTCTATATACGAGTAGCTTATGTAACTCACATTTTGATTGGAATGTATGCCTCATTGGATGTCAGATACTCTCTTCACGGAAAGAGGTACATCCCGAGCTTGTGCGCCAGGTGCTCATTCTGTTATCAGAGGGTAAACAACACCGGATGTTAGAAGCTTGTCAGTTCTTAACACCTTTTCTGAATTTTGCAATTGTGCGGGCGTCTTCTGCTGCTTCTCTGGCTTTCTTTGTTAGAAATCTGATGTCATCTATAGCATTATTATGCTGTTCGCTTTCTCAAAAGGCTGTCCCTATTATCAAGCTACTAATTGGACGGATTAAATACTTCCCCTGTAGGAATGAGGATGTAAGTGGACTTCTTTTGTGAAGTAAGTGAAATAATCTATTATGGCATGAATTATCATTTCTGTTTTCTAAGGCTCTACTCTTTATAAAGTTTTCATCGTGAGCTTATTTTTGCAGGACATAACAGATATTTTTTATTTGGTTGAATGCATAGTGGATGCATTGTCTATGGTCTTGAGGCAACTAGTTGGAATGGGATTGGTATTCCACTACAATAACTACTTAGTATTACTTTTTATTCCATTCTTTATGAGCTTTGTTCTCTCTTCAAGTTTTATATATGCATCTATCGAATGTTGGTCTCATTGCCATTGATTTTACCTAATGCAGTTCTTATATTAACTTCTAACAGCATGTTCACGAAGCTCAATTATGCAGTGCGGAACTACTGGATGCGATTTTCTCATTGCATAATGATCTTCTCCAGCCAGCAGGTTCCCTTGAGTACATTTTAGAGATATCAAGGCGCTTATTGGATGTGCAGAAAGAGCTTGGATTAAGTTTTTTGCCCGAGCTATCATCAGCAATATCATTCTTTATTATAAGACTTATCTATTCAGAGCTTGAACATGAACAACTCTCTGCAGTGAAACTGCTTTCCTTCATCTTAAGTTGGAAAAATGGCAGTGGTATTGTTACTGCACATCTATTAGTATCCCATCTTCATTTCATTTACAAGCCTGGGTTTTCTTTCTTTCTGTATGTATTCTGCTCCTGGCCCTCCTTACATTGTGATCTTAATCCACTTTTTGCAGGCAAAACTGGTCTTAGATCTTCATGCATATTACATGAAGAACTTTTATGCATTTTTCCTGTCATCAACCTTGTACACTCTCCATCAAAATCAGTAAAGAAAGAAGTTATCAATTTGCTTTCTGTTTTAAGAAAGCTTTCAATTGATTCATTTGTTCTATCAAGTACAGTTGTGTCAAATGAATGGAAGCTTCCCTCCATCAGTACAGCTGAACACTTTGCTCTCAGGCTACTACAGAATTTGTGGCTTCAGGTTTAATTTTGTTGTTATGAGTTAAAATGTACCCTGTATGTGGCTTCTGGT